TGAGTGAATTTGTGAGGAGACTAAAACCCAAGAACTAAGGTGACCAGATGTCCTGATTTTTAACTATTTGTCCTGTGTCCCGTGGCGTTTTTTAAAAAAAGTCCCAATTTTTGGAAAGAATCTTTCCAATCTTTCCAAAAATTGGGACTTTTAAAATGCCGCGGGTTGCGGGACAAATTGTTAACAATCAGGACTGTCCCGCCAAAAGCGAGAAGTCTCATCACCTTACAAGAACACCTGAGAAAGTCTTCCTTGTCATTCTAGCAGCCATCAGTTGTGTGGTAATGCTACCAGGGGCAACTGGGAAAGTGTATTGGACTTATGTCCCATGGGTGAGACAGCTTACTTGGGCTGATCCCCCACCTAGTATAGTCACCAATAATACCAAGAACCTTGGTCATCCAGGGGGACCACAAGTGGGACAAGGAAGTATCTGGGTGAAACATAATTACCCGGGTGTCACCACCCAGCTCCCCTTTTGTATGACACAGAATCCAACTACTGTTTCTTTGTGTGTAGAATTAAAGAGAGATTTCTGGTTAGCATAGACATCAAAGGAGGGGGAAGCAAAAGCCCAAATACATCTACTATCACTACTTGCTCCTGGGAGGGGTACAGAAAATGTTACCTTACTAAGACATCCCCCCACACACACACATACACTAAGCCATTATGTAAAAAGTATTATGAATGGCACCCCACTACGGAAAAAATTAATTAGCAAGAATGTTATAGTGACCACCCCACCAGCAGCAAACTTAATAACAATTTTTCCTTTGTGGATTGGAGCCCCTACAGGTCTGTGAATAGTAACAATTGCACCCTGAAATGGAAGGGGAACATATCCTATCTATATGTTGAAGCTGATCACTCCATCTCATTGTACGGAGGAGGATTTGTTGGATCTTAATTACAGCCTGATAATTGGCCCCTACAAAACACGCAATGGAAATTAGCTGCTGCACTTGTACCTATAAAATGGTATAGTTTTAACTATAGCTCAGATAATTCCATTTGTACCTTATGGGGAACTCCCAATGAGACAGTATTTGCCACACTTGTGTATCTGATCCTTTTGTACTCCTCTCAGGCCCCATCCAGATGTGCCTTAATGCAACAAGCCATTTGTATGAGGTCACACATAGTCTGCACACTATCCTATTGTCCCATTGTATTAATTCTATATTCCAAAAAGTTTCCCTCACAATTTTAAAACAATCTGCTTTCTCTTGGGTTCCTATTAACCTAACCAAGTCTTGGGAATCTCATCAAACCTACCAACTGTTACATGACCTGGTAAAAATCTTAATATGACAAAAAAGATTTCTTGGAATATTAATTGCAGGACTCTTTGCTCTAGAATTGCTGCTTTATCCTTGGTACAAACTGTTCAAACTTCTGTTTGTACAACAAGTTAAGGAAAATATAACTAAGACCTTGTCTATACAAAAAAGAATTGACAGCCAGTTTGAAATAGAATTATTGGCACTAAAATCTACAGTTTTATGGATGAGTGATAAAATCTTAGAGCAAAGAATATCCTTACACTGTCATTATAATTTTTCCCAGATTTGTGTTACCCCCATCCCTTATAACAGTACTCTACACCCTGGGGAATCAATTAAAAATCACCTTCTTGGTGTTCGGAGTAAAGGTAACGCAACCCTTGATATTTTGGAATTATAACAGCATATTATACAATTGTCCCAGGAAAACTTACTAACTAGTTCCTTAGATGCCTTCCAGCAATTTAAAAAGGACATGAAAGAGTTTAATCACTTTCACTGGATCTCCTTATATTTGCCTCTTGGCATAACCACTATTGCCTGTCTCATTCTTGTTCTTATATGATTATTTCTAGTCTGCAGATGCAGAATGAAGAGTCTTAAAAGGACTCAAGCCTTACAGATGGCATACACTTTTCAAGATTTATTAAGAAAACAAAAAGGGGGAGATGCGGGAAGCCATCCACTACCGATATTCTCAGGAGAGTTCATTAAGGAACGCGGAAGGCCGATGGACCTTGGGCGTTAGCAGGGCTAATGCCAAGCACCATTTTTCTGTTGAGATAGCGGTGGCTCAAAGCAGTTTCCTGACCCTAATAGCCTCAAAGTAAATGTTTATTGAAACTTACTGATCTTTACTAATCTTTATTGGCCTTAGAGATGGTCTGTCTGCTGTTTGCCATGCTTTACTGAGAGCAAGATGTGTATCTAAAATTGAATAAAAAGAGTGAGAGGTTTCTACCTGGCCCCATGCCTTCTAAATTCATATTTCTTGTATAGTATTTTCATTTGTGCATCGGCCTCTCCTTCAGATCCTGAATCCTAGCTTTGCAGGTTGTGGCAGTCAAGTACCTACTTTAAAATTCTCAGTAAATTCACAAGGAGTCAACTCCTTGGCATGGCACACAAAGCCTTCAAAATCTAATGTTTACTAACTTTGCCAGCTTGTTCCCATCCCAAGCTTGCCCACACATCCTAGAATTATGTCAAATTGCATGCTAGGGCCTCAACATTCCCATCTTTGGAATTCTACTGCCTCTGTAGTCTGCCACAAGGAACTATAATCCCTAACTGAGGTTATTTCACCTGTCTCTCTTTTTCAACATTTTTATCCCCCAACTTCATCTATTTCAAGTGGCTATTCAGAGTCCTGGCCCTCTCTAGAATTATCTGCCAAAGATATCAGAAAATACTGCCTTTTTCTGGGTTTCCTAGGCTGGTAGGATGAGAGTCTTTGGAGTCCCGGCAAATCATTTTGACTGGCATGTAATACAATCTAGCCAGACAGAAGGTGTAGCACAGATTGTTTTTTATACCACATTATCTTGCTTCGGCATTCTACAAGAAGGAACCCTTGAATTTTTACTAGTTATAATAAGGATGCCTCTCCCAAGCACTTGCAGCAAGGTGTGGCTGTTAGGCCTGGTGGCCAGGCTTTCCCTTTGCCGATTGATGCCCTGTGAAGCGGAATTAAGATTGGGGCCTGCCCTCAGGCTGGATAGAAGGCCAACAGGCCTACAAGTGCACACAGGTGTATGTGGCAGTGTAGGTGATGGACGCCATAATTATAAGACTTGAATATTTATGGTTCAAGAGAGGGCAGTCACACTGAACAGCTATTGTTGTGTTGGCTGTTGTAATTTTGTTGTTAATCCTTAAGGTAGGGCTGTTGTCATTTTTTTATTTGACAGTCAAAAGGGAAAGAAGTCAGTGTCCCTGACTAAACGGTATTGCGACATACCAGTTGAAAATCGCTGCTCTATAAGAAAAGAGCTTCTTCACACTGTCTTTCTCTTCCTCTGATGCAGAATTTTATGCTGTGGTTGGATATTTAGAGGATATTATCATGGATGATGAGTTTCAGTTATTAGAGAAAATTCATAGATAAGTACTACCAGGAGTTTGAAGATAGAGAAGAGAATAAACTTACCTACACACCCATTTTTAACAAATATACTTCTTTGCTAGAAAAGTATATTGAAGAAGAGTTGTGAGAACTGACTCCTGGGTTTAACATGATGGCTTTCACAAAATGTCACAGAACCATGAAATGGCTGGTGACATGTAAACATGCGGCAGCTCGTGTTTACAGATTTTTCTGGCATTTAAATGTTTCAGGACTACTGAGCAGAAAAAGGCGGGGACTGGACTTAAGCAGTAGTTTGGGGTGACGTTGTGTAAATTATCCTCTATGCCAGCTTTGCGGAACTATGTGTGATGCTAGGTCCCACCTCCAGCAATGAGATTGTTCTGGACATCAGCAGCCCAGTGCACTGGAGAAGCTTCAGCCAATGACAAAAGAATAGATCTTGGAAAAACTGGCTCTGTTCTGCAACGCTGCATTAACATTAACTATTGATGGGTCCAAAAAGGAAAACTACCTGACCCTCCTGGAACCTGTTTCTCCAGAAAAACCTTGTGCTCAGTAACCCTGGTATTCCTCCCCAAGTAGATTCCTCTTTCAGGGGCTTCTGAGCTGGGCTCCTTTGGAGCAGGTCCACTTCCAGCATTCCAGTTGGGGGGGGGCCTTCCCCAGTATACATTTTTGTGTGCCAACACCCATCACCACTGGCCTTCTTTGTCCCAGCAGGCTCTGCATGAATCTTTTAGAGCATTTGCACTTTTCCCCCCACACACATCCAAGTTTCAGTCCTCCAGCCTCAATGGGGTTTTTACTGTTTCGGAGTATTTATCTAAGGTGTTACTCAAACTAGTAGCCTGTCTTGAGATTTCTGGAGCTCCTATTATCCAGTCTTGGCTATAGGCACCAAGTGAAAGATGTCCTTTACCTAAAAGCTCCATGTGATAATTAATTCCTACTCTTACATTTGCAGTCCCTGTATCTCTATGTCTTCTGCTGGTCCTGGTGTAGCCCCCCCGTTTTTAGAACTTTCTTTTAAGCATTTTTGCAAAAAGTATATATATATTATATATATGTGTGTGTGTGTGTGTGTGTGTGTGTGTGTGTTTATAGATGAATACTCAGGCTAACCTAAGAGGATATAATAGTGGAACTTTCATGATTACTCACTTAAAGATCAAAGTACTGTATGCTGTGTTTTGTGTTAGTGCTATGAAAGCGAAAATGCTATGTTGGCGCTCCTATTTTACTGGAAACTAGTGAAAGTGTGCTTATGCTGGAGTAGACAAAAGGCATCCTTTTCCCCTTTATTTAAAGAAGAGTGGAGAACTTTTTTTCTGCCAACGGCCATTGGGTATTTATAACATCATTCTCGGGCCTTACAAAATTATCAAATTAAAAATTAGCCTACTATATTTGGTCAAACTTTTAATTAATTTACCCCTAATGCTTGCCAGGGCCAGACTAAATGATTTTGAGGGCCTTACATGGCCTTAGGGCCAGGTATTCCCTACCCCTGATTTATAGCATGTTAAGTGTTTTGTGTGGGTTTGCTCAAAACCCTTTCTGTATAAATCAGTTCATTAGGTTTTCGGTTGGGGGAGAGTCCTGCAATCCTTCTTCCTGCCAAAATTCTACCAAGAGGGTGTTCCATTGGTCTAGCTCAGCAGCAATAGGAGATAGCAAACAACTTTGCTGCTGTGGACAAAAGGGGCCACATAATAACCAGACAGGCTCAGAGAAGGCCTGCATAGCAGTCTTGCAGACTCAGGATCCTAAAATAACAAGATGGTCTGAAATTAAACTTTAACCAAAAGCAGTTATGGTGGGTAGTCACCTCCTAGGCAGGTATCTTCGCTGACAAGGTCAACATTTACCTTAACTGAGCCTATCTGTCTACATCCGGGTAACCAACTGGCCTAAAGAGAGAGCACAAAACCCACGGCCTATTTGGTACTCTCCTATTTGGTACTCAGCCGACTTGGCAGCTTCTGTGTACATTTTTTTTCCTCATTAAAAAATAACTGGTTTTGCGCCGGGACCGGTTTGGCTCAATGGATAGAGCGTCGGCTTGGGGACTGAAGGGTCCCGGGTTAGATTCCTGTCAAAGGCATGTACGTACCTTGGTTGCAGGCATAACCCCAGTAGGGGGTGTGCAAGAGGCAGCTGATGGATGACTCTCTCTCATCGATGTTTCTGGCTATCTCTCTCCCTTCCTCTCTGTACAAAATCAATAAAATATATTTAAAAAAAAATAACTGGTTTTGCATATATTTAATTATCTTGATGGTTCTAAAAATAGATTATCAATTAATTCTCTTAAGATTGGTAGCCATATTTTCTATTAACATTTTTGCCTAATACTTTCATTTTTATTTTATCATACTTGCTATAATGAATATTCTTTTAAAGTTGTAATGATTAAAAGGTGTTGACATTTTTAAGAGGCTATGAAGATCTTTAGGGGCCAGGACCTCAGGTTCCTGGACTGAGATAAATTACTTCAGTTTTAGGGAAAAGGCAAAATAATCTTGGTTTGTGCTGTCTAATACAGTAGCCACAGACAGCTATTAAAGCATGCTCACGCAAAATGAGGTGTGCTGTATATAGTATGTGTGAAATACAGAAATTCAGACTTAATATGAAGAAAGAACGTAGAATATCCCACTTTTTAAAAAAGATATGGTTACAAGCAGCTAAAATTGTTTTGGAGTTGAGAATATAAGTTGTGATTGATGACTTGTTAAAATAACATTTTTGATAGATTGGGTTAAAGAAAAAGGTTATTAAAATAAAAAATAAAAAAGCTACAGGAGATATCTGACGAGGACAGAGGCAAAGTAAAACAGCCAAGAAGCATGCAACATAAAACGATTCCAAGAGTTCATATCTAAAGCAGATAATAGAGGTCCACATATCACACTTCAGGACTACAAAGGCGAGTAAGCTTTAGCCCTGGCCAGTGTGACTCAGTTGATTGAGCATTGTTCCACGCACCAAAGGGTCATCAGTTCAATTCCTGGTCTGGGCACATGCCCCGGCTGAGGGTTGGTTCAATCCCTGGTTGGGATGCATACAGGAGACAACCAATTGATGCTTTTCCCTAACATCAATATTTCTCTTTCTCTAAATCAATATATTTTCAAAAGAACAAAAACAAGTAAACTTTCTTTTAAAGTTCAGGGGACTGACATATTGCTGCAAACTTTTTACATTTCCAGTTTATGAACATTAAGACAAATTTGTACTGAAATGAGGAAAAAATCATAAAATACGATGAATGAGTTATAGATTATAATTAAATAATTTCAGGCAAACACTGGTCCCTAGTTTAATGAGCAGTTAGTAGCAAACTACAACTTAAACTTAATCCTAAACTCAAATTAAACACATTATTTGCAAAAAAAAAACAAAAAAAAACCCCACACAAGTTATTTGCTAAAATTAGTCTTTTTACCCTTTTGAAAACACTAGACAATTATTGTTTGAATTTTTAAAGTATTGAAATAATTAGGATTCTCTAAGGTTTTCAGACTAGAGGCACACAAATAAAAAATAAAAAAAATTAAGATCATTCTAAATGTTATTAGAAATAGTCCTGAAAATGACATTGAGCATTTGTTTAAAAATGTGCCAATTAACTGTAAAACTGAGATGAAGGTGCTTTCCTGTCAGGAAGGGATTTCAACACTGCTTGTTGTGTCACACAATGCATAAGAGTTTCACACATTTAGCAGAAACACTAAATTAAGAGATCAGATAGCTTGGGTTCTAGTGCTAGTTTTATTTGTAACTAATCATGTACAAATCACTTATCTTTAAAATAATGATTAACATCTACTCCCTAATTCACAAACATTCACAAAACCAAAATCCTTCCCAAGAAAATCTTTATAAAACAATACATTACTACTAATTAGCTTATACCCAACTTAAAGGTTGAGAATGACAACTTAAGAGAATTTGTCTTATCAATCAGTTGCAAACCTTAATTCTGCAGATGGATAATATGGTTGAGATAAGCATTGTCCTATTTCAAGTTTACAAAACAAAGCCAAAAAAGTTGGCCAAAAAAATAACACTATAGTGAAATCTCTGTCTGTTTCAAAACAGTGCTTATACACATCTGTTATCAATGGAATCAGTTAGTCTTCAGCTGCATGTTACTTTACTTCGCTAGAAATAATGTTAAGCAGGAATGTTTTGTGGATTCATCAAATGGCCATTCAAAAGACTAAGAAGAAAAAAAAGACTAAGAAGTATGTTGTTTTAATCGTTTTTCTCTACCTCTATTTTTTTCATTCAAAATTCAATTCCTCGTCCCAGAGCACACTCCTCAGTACTATGTCAGGGTATAAGAAATGTTAGCATTTGGTCTCTAGAGAATTAACAGAGACAGGGAATTAGTATGTTACTGAACAAAAATTCAAGATCATTCTTAGTGGGTATAAAAAAATTTATAGACTATAGGTATCTGTATATGTACACCATCTATCACAATTATGAAAATCATGTATTTACAGATGCTCTTAAAAGGTAAGCACCTGCTGAAACCGGTTTGGCTATGGATAGAGTGTCTGCCTGCGGACTGAAAGGTCCCAGGTTCAATTCCGCTCAAAGGCTTATACAATGGTTGCAGGCTCATTCCTGGTAGCAGGTGTGCAGGAGGCAGCTGGTCGATGTTTCTCTCTCATCGATGTTTCTAGCTCTCTATCCCTCTCCTTTCCTATCTGTAAAAAATCAATAAAGTATATTAAAAAAAAAAAAAGGTAAGCACCTATATTTTCTTGTATTATCAATGTCAATTTTGTGCAATTTAATTTCTATTTTTGGATTTTCCCTTACACATCATGGTGATACAAAAAAATAAATAAATGTGAAAAATAAAAATCCAAGACTGGAGTGTTGGTTCACTGAAAAATACAGAACAGATATAAATATCCTAATAAAATAACCATATATATCACTGCTTAGGGAAATATTTTAGAGGAAATATACTTTCACTATTGGCCTCAAATGCCATTATCCACATAAATTCTTTGTCAACTTTTAATATAAAAATACCTTCAAGCTCATAATTATTTATAGTAACTTACAAAACTGACAGAATATTTCAACATTACAAAGAACAGTTTTATATACAGCTTAAAGTTTTAAAGTTCTCTGCTGGCCCTTGATTTTATAATTGGACACAGTAACTACTGATCTCAATAAAATACTGTTTTTTAGCTTATACATATTTTTAAAACCAGTATTACTTCACAAAACAGTAAAGAATAAATCACTTCCTGCTGAAGAATCCTCCAAGACAAACACCAACATTATACAGCCAAAATATTTTAGGAGAGCATATAAACTTTTTAAGACAAGGCCACAACTAATGGATAAAAAGTACATTACCCAAGGATTTGTCCAGTGAAAAGGATTGTTTCTCTGATTCAATGAACATGTATCAGCTTATATATGAAAAATATGAATTTATAAATCGCCTATTTTTAAAATTTTTTGTTTAAAAGGGTGTTTAAATGATTGGTGACACTACAAGAATGATGTCTTTTAAGATAGAAAAATGGTCATATTTAGCAAAAATACATTTTACATTTCAAAATTAGAAGCTAAATTTCTCTTAAAACAATGAAATCATGACTGATTGATTTATTTTTTACTTTCAGTGACCTCTTCCATTCTGCACTATATTAAAATGAAATCACTATTCAGTAAGCTTTATATGTTCACTTTTTTCCTTTGCAAAAGGGAAGAAAACCAACCCAAATTTAACAAACTATATTAACTTAGAATACTAAAGACTACTTTAAAATTTGTTAAATCTATTACTTTCATTATTCTGAAGGAAAAATATAAACCTTCAAAAGCCAATGAAGTTTCTAGTCCAATTTTCTATTCTAAAAATTAAAAAGTTAAATTTCTTGTGGCAGGCACTAAATAGAATTTAAAAAGTTAACAGAAGACTATATTAGATAACCAAAATATAAACAGTGCAACTAATTAATACAATCCACTGGTGCAATGAATAGTTGAACAATGAAAAAAGCACACCAAGCATTCTAATAAATTATATAGTTCATTTTCTCCATATTTTAATCTTGACCTTTAACATAGCAAATTATTATATAGGTTGATTTCATGGACTGTTTAAATTTTGTAACATAAGTAATTCAAACATTAGCCTTTCTAAACCAAATCTGCGGTCCTAGTCAATTTTGTTTTTCAGAAAAAGGAAAGAATACTTTTTTAAGGATAGATTACATAGCAGTAGAAACATCTCAAAATATTTACAAAGAACCCTAATGATCTTGTGAAATTTGCTGATGTGCAACCCAGACTTCATCACCAGAGAAAGAACTTGAACTTCCTGACTCAGAGTCCAGTTCACTGAATTCATCCAAGTCCCAATCATTACTAGACTCACTCCGTACATCATCTTCCTCAGTAATGAAACTCTGACCAGGTTCAAGGCAAGAAGGATGAACGCGAGCACAGAGGCAAATAAATCCAGAGTCAAAATGCAGAAGACCTAACATGGTACCTATATTAACCCAACGGTCTTCCCTGGAGTCATATTCATACACAGTCACCCGGTTTTTTTTCCATTGTGGGGTGGTAGAAGTGATGAGGAGCAACTTTTGGCCACAGCTGACAATCTGATAGTTGTGGATCTCTGAGAGCAAAGGAATATTACTAATTCTCCGCCATTCTCCCCTAGCTGGATTGTAGACCTTCATGACTGGGATGTCACAGATACAATAGATCTCATCATTGAAGACACAGGCTACCTGAAAGTCACTACGTTTAAGAGAAGCACAGTTCAACCACGTATTGTGGCTAGGATCGTAGCAGAGCATGCGCTTACTGTTCACAGCATAAAGGTAGTTCTGAACTACTATTAGTTCGAAGGAATAGAAGGAGTGGGGTACAGGAGCCACCAGTGTCCACTGATTCCTCTGAACACTGTAGCATTCCACTTCCTTAAATTTCATCCCAGTAATAGGGTCTCGCCCACCCAAGATGTAAATGTAGCCATTGACGTAAGCCACATCCATGCCCTCACGACAGAGCAAGCGATTTGCAAGTTGCTGCCAACTATTCTGAGCTGGTTTATACACCCAGAGTTCTTTCCTGGGCTGGGCAGCTAGGTAGATGTCATGGTCCGGAGAGACACAGACAGCTGAGGAGGAGATAGTTTTAGTGTGAGCCAAGCGGACCAAAGGTGAAGGCATGGTGTAAATGTCCCCTGAGTATGGGTCATAGCAGAGAAAAGGATCTCGGGGATGTCCAAAAAAGATCACCATCTCCTTGGAACACATGCCCAGCCTCTGGGGTGGATTTTCTGCTGTGGATGCAACAGAGCTGCTGCTGCCGTCTGGCCTTGGCACCACAGACTTGTACCTCATGTCACCATATCGCATCTGCAGAGCCTCTTGGATAAGGTCCAGACAGTACTTCTTCACGATGGGCTTAGTCAACAGCCCTTTCAGGTAATCCTGATCTTCTTCAGCGAAGTGTGTCCAGCGGACACACTTGAAGACTTCCGCAGCGCTGGGACCCCGCTCCTTGGGAGCCGCCTCCAACCACTGCAGGGCAACGTGACACACTGTCCGCTCACTCTCGATGTCTAGACTGTCCAGGCGCAGGACAGCCAGCAGCTGGGTCAGGGTCAGATCTGCCAGAGTCTCCTCCCGAATCGGACCCATCTGGCTGAGCTGCTTGAAGTTGTGGGCGATGAAGGCCTGGGCCTGCGACCGCAGCTTGCGGTGGCCGAAGGCGTCAGCGAACTTGAGGATGGCGGTGCAGTTGGCCAGGTCCAGGCGGCGGGCCAGGAAGGAAGCGCAGGCTTCCCGCACGTACTCGAGCTGCAGCATGTCGGAGGCCGCGTACAGGCGTTCCACGTTGGCTTCACTCAGGGACACGCGGCCGGTGTAGCAGTATTCGACCAGCACCTCAAAGGACTCGGCGTCCACGTCGTGCAAGGTCACGTTCGCCTGCTGGCTCTCGTACATGCCGCCGGTGAACATGCTCTTGAAGTAGGGGCAGGCGGCGGCCAGCACGTTTCGGTTGCAGGAGAAGAGGCGGCCCGTGCCAGGCCCGCTGCCGGGCGTCACCACCTCGATGGTCACGTCGCACAGCAGCCGGGAGTCGTAGAAGGACTTGAGCTGCGCCAGCAGCGCGGCCGAGTGGGCCGTGTCCTTCAGCTCCTCCGGGCCCGTGAAAAAGGCCGACACGGAGGGTTTGTTAATCCTCTTGGGCCGCCTCCCACCGCGGGGATTGGGGAGGCGGCGGAAGCACGGGCCGTCTTCCAGGGCCTGCATGGCGGCGATGGCGGCGGGCGCCGAGGGCGAGAACGGCCGGGCTCCGGCTTCTCCTCACGCGGACAACGGAGTCCCCGAGCACTCGGAGCTGCGAGGGCCGCGCCGCCTCGCCTCAGCCCTGCCCCGCGGCGCTGCCTCCTTTGATCGCGTAGGGAGCGCCTGACTCACCGGGTTCCAATCCCACGCCTCCCTCCGCCTCGGCTTGCCGTCGCGGAACCGGCTGCGGACTCCACGAGCCGCCCCCGCCGCGCTGGCGGTACCGGCCGAGGCTCGGAACTGCGACTCCCAGAGAGCCTTTCGCGCCTCGAGGCGCGCGCGGCCCGCCCGACCCGCGGGCGTAGGCGGGTGAGCGGTAGTCGCTTTGCATGTTGGGAGTAGTAGTTCGAGTAATACCGCGAGGCTTCTTGGGTCAAACTGGCTAACGGAAAAGCGGTGATTCTTCTGAATTTGATGGTTTAGCTTCTGAATTTGATGGCTTTGAAACCAAGGATAAAAGCCCCATTTTAATATGCATTTCAGAGAGTTGTTCCCTCTTTGTAAAACAGGGATAATATTCATAGGATTGTATTTGGATGGAATGAGACAAATTGTATAGGATATAGGAAGCTTCAATAAATGTTTGATTATAACAGAAATTGCTAGCTTTCCTTTTAGAACTTTTGAAAAATGAGACACACACACAATTTGAAAACATGAGCAATTTTGCAAAGGAAGTCAGGGTTTTCTTTTCTTCTTCTTTTTTTTTTTTTAAATAAATCTTTATTGTTCATATTATTACAAAAGTTCCTCATTTTTTCCCCCCTCCACCAAGAAGTCAGGGTTTTCATGTTGATTCTTTTGAAAGGTTGTGAAGGGTATTACAACAATTCTATAAGAAATGCTATGCATAGGCTCATTAAGATATCTTAGAGAAAAATAACGTCCTAGAAAACAGCATTTATATATGGCCTCAAATATGCAAGTCATGAATATAAATAGATGAGCTAATATCTCACCAAATCAACACTTAAACTCCCATGGAGCAAGATTATTTTCATAGCCTCTTTTTTTCATTTATCAATATAATTTCTATTACTCCAACATCTGCCGGAAATAACGGACAAGAGTATCGGAGTAAAGATCGTTGATCCTGTTTGCTTCAGCTGAATCCGGATAGTGGGCATTGGTAAACTCCTGAACTGCTTTCCATTTGACCAGGATGTTCTTGATGTCAGCAGTTGGGATTGGTTGATTGTTTGTTGCTCCTCGTTATCAGATGACGCTTCCCTTTGAGCATTGTCCTGTTTTTTAGAAGCCATGATATAAAAAAAATATTGAGTTTAACTTAAAAGGACGACTGCCGTGATACATGCGTGATTTAATTCGTAATGAAGAACGATTGCCGCGATACGTGCTTAAGTTAAGTGCAGTGACTAACGACTGCCTGCAGTGCCTGCGCGGAAGGATGCAATACATCGGCAGCGATCCTGGAAGCTCGGGCGAAGCAGTCGTGGAAGCTCGGGCAAAGCGGTCGTGGAAGCTCGGGCGACTTCGTTGTGTGAAACGAAGTTCGTTGTATGAATCATGAAATGAACTGTATTCTGAACTAAAATGCTTCCTTTATTAAGTATGATATTTTCGCAGATTTTAAAAATCTCATTCTTTTTAGAAACAATCTTTGTTGAAAATATTACAAATGTCCCCTTTTTTCTCCCCACTGACCTCTTCTAGCCTACCCCTTCTTCCCCCTCCCCCGCCCCAGGCCTTTATCACCCTATTGTCAGTGCCCATGGGTTATGCATGGTTATTTACATAGCCTCTTAATTTGGCTATTTTCAAGTTCTCTAATACTATTCATTTTCCTCCCTACAAATCAGTAGAACATTCTGGAACTGTGCTGTTGTTTTAATTAAAAACGAAAGTTTTAACGAGTTTAAACAAGTTTTTAAGGAGAGTATTAAATTAAAATATTTTAACGAACAGCTTGTATTATACAAAAGCACAAGATCCTCGTAACTCAGAGTATTCATACATAACCTGACATTTCTTCTTTTGCTTTTAATTTCTTAAATTTATATAGTAGAGCTGATGCTATATAAAAGTACACATCTGTGTGTGTGGTGGGGAGTGTCTGTGTGCACACACACGTGTGCATTCTCTGCTAGTTGAATTTTCAAAATCAAATGCTTAGAGGCTTTTTCTAAATTAGGGAATTTTCATTTAAAAACCATTCTACCTCCTGCTGTTAGTTTGCAATGTGTTACCATTATCTAATGAATTAAATCTTTAATATTACATGAATATGTGGAGAAGGAGAATAATTCTCAAATTGTTTTTCTCTTCCTATTAGCTGAAGTGGGTCTACTGGAAATACCCCAGGAGATACCACATTAAACTAAGTGGGTCTTTGGGTTCCAGTATCTACTCTGTACCTCTGTTGGATATCCATCAGATACATCAGAGAGAATTAAGTTATTAGCAACACTGACTGCTTCCTCACCTCACAAGTTTGAGCTGCATTGATTAAAAAAAAAAAAATTTGAAAAACACTTCTTGGTACTTAAATGGCACTATGAAATGCAGATTACAGCATCTGATTACAGCACAAATAGGTTCATGGGAAAAGCAGATAAAAACAAAGGGAAAGGGAGAGGATTATGCCATCCATAGCACTGAACGTTGTTTTTTGTTATTTTTCCTTCTGTTCAAGTCAGTATATGCCATTTAAACCACTTTATGGCATTAGGTAATGAGATAATGCTTCCTCTATTAAGAGCAAGCAGCAGTGCCTTTCATATGAGACACATACATTTAATCCATTCAAATGGAGCATATTGAGTGGAGAGAATGGTATGTGTCATTATATAAAAAGCTTGGCATTATGATGTTATCTGGCTGAAGATCTTATTTTGCAATTTTAGAGAATGTAGACAAATTAGGCATTGAAAATGAATGTGCAACCCAAACTGGTTTATTATAGCTCAGTGGCTAGAGCGTTGGCCTGCAGACTCAAGGGCCGCAGGTTTGATTCGGTCAAGGGCATGTACCTTGGTTGTGGGCACATACTCAGTAGGGAGTGTGCAGGAGGCAGCCAATTGATGTTTCTAATTCTCTATCCATCTCCCTTCCGCTTTTTAAAAAAAATATATATTTTATTGATTTTTTACAGAGAGGAAGAGAGAGGGACAGAGAGTTAGAAACATCGATGAGAGAGAATCATTGATCAGCTGCCTCTTGCACACCCCCTACTGGGGATGTGCCCGTAATCAAGGTACATGCCCTTGACCAGAATAGAACCCAGGACCTTTCAATCCGCAGGCTGACGCTTTATCCACTGAGCCAAACCGGTTTCGGCTCCCTTCTGCTTTGTGAAAAATCAATGAAATATATATTTTTAAAAAATGAATGTGCATGCTTAAATGCATGACTTTATTTTCATGCATAATGACCAAACAACTGGTCACCAGGAAGTGCATGGACGGGTCCCATGACGCGCAGGTCTGGGAAGCTGTGTGGTGCTGTTCAGGGCCAGGGGACCCCCGTCCACATCCCCCGCCGCCCCAGTGCTGGGGCCAGAGGACCTGAGGCTGTGTCCCCTGCCCGGCAAGGCTTGACGGGTGGGGCCAACCAGGTGTCTTGGTGTCATCCAATGGGGGTGGGGCCAGACGGACACTCTATTATAGAGAAAGGGCCAATAGCAATATTAAAATATTTCCTCTAATTGCCATAACTGGTTTGGCTCAGTGGATAGAGCACCGGCCTGCAGATAAAAAGGTCTCAGATTTGATTCTGGTCAAGGGCATGTATGTGGTTGCAGGTTCCTCCACTGCCCAGGCCCTGGTCAGGGCTCGTGCAGGAGGCAACCAATTGATGTGTTTCTCTCACATTAATGTTTCTCTCTGTATTTCCCTCTCTCTTACACTCTCCCTAAAAGTCAATAGAAACATATCCTCGGGTGAGGATTCAAAACAATAATAATAACAACAAAAAGCATTGGCTTATTGGAAGTGTGTATTGAGTACTGGAAACAATTCACAAATGCCCCACTGTGTGGACCAAAACACCCAGAATATCACTATGAGAAGTCCCCACAGGTAGCTATCATTCTTGGCTTGCATGAAATCACTGAGAGTCACCCTGAGAGCTTTCAGTTTGAACTTGGCTCTGAATCTTTGCAAGTTCCTTCCTAGAGTACACTGAAATTTCCAGAATATCTATTTTAATAAACTATGTATATATAAATAGAATATAGTTCTTCTTCTTATTATTTATTTATTTTTATTAATTATCATTTGGCAAAGATTTCCAGGTAATTTTCAAGGATATTAAATAGGCCTTATCAATTTTAAAAAATTAGTGGAGAGCCCTAGCCGTTTGTCTCAGTGGATAGAGTGTTGGCCTACAGACTAAAGGGTCCCGAGTTTGATTCTGGTCAAGGGCACATGCCTGAGTTGCAGGCTGTCTCCAGTGGGGGCATGCAGGAAGCAGCCAATCAGTGATCCTCACCACCCCTGCACTGGCCCAGCCTCCATCGCAAAACCACCTCAGCCCCCACCTCTGTGGCCTTGTGCGGAAGGAAGTTGGATGTCTGAAAGATGTCCGGTCATCCTGTCTAATTAGTATATTACTCTTCTATTAGTATGGATGGGGACCGAGCAGAGCATTCCGGGGAACATGAGGAAGGGGCCTTATGGCTCAGAGACCAGGGACTCCACAGGAATCTGGGAGGTCCAGTCTCTGGCTCTGGCCACGCCCGTCTCACAGGGAGGAGCAGGTGCAGTTTCTTGCAGACATGGAAGCAGCTGTGGTGTAGGGAGGTGACAGTTTTTCCCTGAGGAGGCGTTAAAGTCCCTGTTGAAGCCTCTCACGGCGGTGAGTCCACGTGTGTGTGTGTGTGTGTGTGTGTGTGTGTGTGTGTGTATGTGTGTGTCCCGAGGCTGTGCAGCGGAGGCACCACATTCCTTTCGGAAGAAACAGGATTGATGGGAGCCTGCTGGCTGGGAGAGGCGGAACCAGGAGGTAGGTCTGCCTTGCATCCACTTGCAGATCTCCAGTCCCACTCCGCTGTCACCCACCCAGCCCGTTCCCTGGCTCTCCCTTGGCCATCCAGCAATGGGAACCTGTGGGCTGAAAGGGGGGGCGGAGGGAGGGGGAGGGCAAGGCCGGGAAGGGACCAGTCGTCTGTTCAGTTGTGATGGCACCTAGCTCTTTTATATATTACGATTATCTCTTTCATTGATTGGCTTATTTCACTCAGCATGATGTTCTCCAATTCCATCCAGGTTGCTGCAAATGATGAGAATTCCTTCTTCTTTATGGCAGCATAGTATTCCATTGTGTAGATGTACCATAGTTTTTGGATCCAATCATCTGCTGACGGGCACCTAGGCTGTTTCCAAATTCTGGCTATTGTAGATTGTGCTGCTATGAACATAGGGGTGCATATATCCTTTCTGATTGGTGTTTCTAGTTTCTTGGGATATATTCCTAGGAGTGGGATTACTGGGTCAAATGGGAGTTCCATTTTCAGTTTTTTGAGGAAACTCCACACTGTTCTCCACAGTGGTTGCACCAGTCTGCATTCCCACCAGCAGTGCACGAGGGTTCCTTTTTCTCCGCAACCTCGCCAACACTTGTCGTTTGTCGATTTGTTGATGTTGGCCATTCTGACAGGTACGATTATCTTTTGCCATATTAATGTGCAATGATAAAGAGTTTTGTTTTCACTTTACTTAGATTAAGAAGTTGAAAGACAGGCTAGGCAGCCATCTTAGTTTTATCCTCTCCCCTCACACTACTCCCACCCACTTATATAATAATTAACAAGGGAGAAATGGGTTTTTCAGATTTGTCGTTTCTTTTTTTGCTTGTAAGATGGTTGATTTTTCTCTTCCCTTAAGAATGTTGCCATTTTATTCAATGCATTCCCTAAGCCTCCTTTGCTCAGCTCAAATCTTGTACTGGAGCAGAGTTAAAGCTGCCTAAGGCCACACCACATGATCAGTAAGAGGTGGTGGCTTAAGAAAGAGGTTCCCCTAGCTGAAACTGGTTTGGCTCAGTGGATAGAGCGTCGGTGTGCAGACTGAAAGGTCCCAGGTTCTATTCTGGTCAAGGGCATGTACATTGGTTGCGGGCACATCCCCAGTAGAGGGTGAGCAGGAGGCAGCTGGTCGATGTTTCTCTCTCATTGATGTTTCTAGCTCTCTCTCCCTCTCCTTTCCTCTCTGTAAAAATCAATAAAATATAAAAGAAAAAAAAGAAAAAGGGGTTCCCCTAAATCAGCCGCCAAGAGTGCAAAGGCCAGTCCCACTGCCTTTCCCCTCCACTGGGAGCGCCTACCACCCCAGGCCTTGGAAAGCTACATTTACAAAACTATACACTCCCATTCCACCACAACAAAGCTTTCTCAGAGCACACAACACAGCACTCTCTTCCCCAGTCCCTAGAAAAACAGCACTAGCAGGTCAGTGGCTCCTCCACAAATGTGCCTCCTACAGCCCTGGGCTAGGATGCCTCGGATCCCCTGGTCCCCTCTGGGCACCCGAGTGCTCGGGTACGGAAGCAGAGGAGTCAAGCAAAGGGAGGCTGAACCCAGGGAAATTTTCAAAAGCCTGGGAGAGTCCAGACTGCTAGTAACTAAACCTCACCCACTTACCACTCAAGTCCAGTAACACCACAGCCAGGTGGGCCACTTGAAGGGGTAATTAATATCCAAGATCAGTTTCAGACCATCATAAAAATATTAAAGTCAAAAGTGAAAAGCAAGGTCTATGCTTGTGAGAATTATGAGAGTCAACCTGTAACCTTTTCTGACAGAGGAGGAAGTTCCTTAGCTTAAGAGCAGTCATTTTGAGCCCTACCTGGTTTGGCTCAGTGCATAGAGCACCGGCCCACAGACTGAAGGGCCCCAGGTTCAATTCCAATTGGGGGCACATGCCTGGGTTGTAGGCTCCATCTCCCCACGGGGGCGTGCAAGAGGCAGCCAATCAAAGATTCTCTCAGCTCTATTCTAAGTTGCATGACTTGCAATTTCCCAGGAGGCCACCATTTTCAGATTCAGTTTCCTAAATGTCAAAACTCCCTGCCCTCCTTTGAATTAGCCAATCGTGCCAAGAAAGTGAACCCAAGCCTTTAGCAATCAGGGTGAGGGGCAGATTGTGCCATGGATTAAATCTGAGTGGGAAGTCTTTGCTTACCAGACTGTTGGTTGCACACCCTTCTGCAGAAGTAAATATATAGCTTTGCTGTCTGACCCCCAAGTATCCTTTGTGTTCTACCAGAACCCCTTAACTCTGAGGCTCGCTTTATTTCTAACATGCTAAATGAAAAAAATAAGGAGCTAATGAATAAATAGTATAATTTAAAAGAATATATCAGTATGAAAAGGATAAAGAGAGACCTAAAATATAATAATGAGATTCTTTCTCAATAACTTTATAAAGCAGAAGAAAGTAAATTCAATAGCTTAGAAATTGAGCTTTATTACACAAGAAATGCTCTCAAAGAAAGGACTTTGATTTTAGAAGGTGTAAAAAGAGACTTAGGCCAAACACAGTGTCAAAAGACGGAAAATAGAGTTGTTAGACAACTTCAAAGAGAACTGGCTGACACCAAAAAAAAAACTATGACAGGGAGAAGCAAAGATGGTGGCATAAGTAAATACCTGAACTTGCTTCCTCCCACAACCACTTCAAAACTACAACTAAAAGACAAAATGGACATCATCCAGAGCCACAGGAAGTTGACTGAGTGGAAATTCTACAACTTGAAGGAAAGAGAAAGCACACTGAGACTCAGAGGAGCTACAGAAGTAAAGGCAGAGGTATGGAGGCTTGAGTGGAGAGGGCTGGCAACTGAGTATGCGGCTGGCTTTTTCAAGTGAGAGGGAGGCACTAGCTCCTGACTGCTCTGAATTTCAGTTCTGGGTGAGACTCTGGGGACCCAGACGCATATGGGGAGAAACTGGACTGTCTGGCTTCAGTCAGAACTCGAGGGCAACTTTCTCTCAGAGGAGCTTGCAGTGATTATCAAGGGACACTGAGACCCAACGGCCTCTTAGGGCAGGACTGAGAATCAACCATAGCTGTTTGCTCCACCCTGTTGATTCCCTGAGACCCTGCCCCACCCAAGCTGTGCATAGAGGTGTTTGCATATGAATGGCCTGATTTTTTAAAATCTAAAATTACCTAACTAACTGCAGCCAATGTCAGAGAGACCCAGACCCAGAACATCCAAAAGAAGGCCCAAGGATCTGCTTCACAGCCTGGCCTCATCTGAGCACCTCCAAAACCCAAACAAAGAAGAGGAATCTGCAGATCTCTCTGTAGCTCCTCCTGAGTGGCCTCAGGCAGAGGCTAAATTAGCACCTCCTTGCAGATCCAAGAGCCAGTGTACCTAGGGGAGAGAGTAGGACCATTCAGATTACAACTCCTCAGATCCAAGGGACACACTCAGGGGGCAGACTCAGTGAACACCAAAGCCCCACTGAAGCAAGTCTTATCTCATAAGGGTGTCTCCAGCACAGAAATTCTCTCATAGTAGACACAGCTGGTCCTCACAGCCAATTAGCCTAGAGGTCAATTCCCCTCAGGAATACCAATAGCAATCAACATTTAACTACAACAAGACTGCACGCAGCCCACAAAGGGGTGCACCAAGAGCATCCACCTCAGGTAACTGGGAGGCTAAGCCACTGGGCCCTATAGGACACCTAGCACACAAAGCCACTCTATCAATACAGGGAAGCAGTGAAAATGCAGAGACAAAGAAACAGATCACAAATGACAGAAATGGAAGAAAGCAAATGGCTCTATATAGAGTTCAAAACCATGGTTATAAGGTTTTTTTCTTAAAATTTTCTAGAAACTGCTGATAAATTTAGTGAGATCCTCAAGGATATGAAAAAGGACCAACTAGAAGTTAAGCATACACTGACTGGAATAAAGAATAATATACAGAGATCCAACAGCAGACTAGAGCTGTTGGATCTCTGTATATTATTGGATCTCTGTTGGCAAACTGCAGCTCTCGAACCACATGCGGCTCTTTGGCCCCTTAAGTGTGGCTCTTCCACAAAATACCATGGCCTAGGTGAGTCTATTTTAAAGAAGTTTAAGTTTAAAAAATTTGGCTCTCAAAAAAAATTTCAATTGTTGTACTATAGATATTTGGCTCTGTTGACTAATGAGTTTGCCAACCACTGTACTAGAGGATCACAATAATCAAGTCAAAGACTTTAAATACAAAAGAAGCAAAAACACCCAACTGGAAAAGCAAAAAGCAAAAAGAATCCAAAAGTATGAAGATAGTGTAAGGAGCCTCTGGACAACTTCAAGCATACCAATATCCAAATTATAGGGGTGCCAGGAAAAGAAAGAGAGCAAACTGAAAACCTATTAGAAGAAATAATGACTGAAAACTTCCCCCACCTGGTGAAAGAAATAGACTTACAAGTCCAGGAAGTGCACAGAACCCCAAACAAAAGGAATCCAAAGAGGACCACATCAAGACACATCATAATTAAAATGTCAAGAGCAAAAGACAAAGAGACAATATTAAAAGCAGCAAGAGAAAAACAGTTAGTTACCTACAAGGGAACACCCATAAGATTCTCAGATGGTTTCTCAACAGAAACTATTCAGGCCAGATGGGAGTGGCGAGAAATATTCAAAGTGATGAATAGCAAGAACCTACAAACAGATTACTCTACCCAGCAAAGCTATCATTCAGAATTGAAGGTCAGATAAAGAGCTTCACAGATAAGAAAAAGCTAAAGGAGTTCATCACTGCCAAACCAGTATTATATGAAATGCTTAAAGGTATTCTTTAAGAAGAGGAAGAAGAAACAGATAAAGATAAAAATTATGATCAACAAATACATATCTATCAACAAGTGAATCTAAAAATCAAGTGAGTTAAAAATCTAATGAACAGAATAAACTGGTGAATATAATAGAATCAGGGGCATAAGGGAGTGGAATGACAATCGTTGGGGGGTGCAGAAAGAGACTGGACAAAAATCTTACATCTATGGATGAGGACAGTGGAGGGGTAAGGGCAAGGGGTGAGGTGGGAACTGGGTGGAGGGGAGCTATGTGGGGAAAAAGAGGAACAACTGTAATTATCTGAACAATAAAGATTTTTTTTTTTTTAAAGATAGTCAAGCTAAAAAAAAAGAAAACTATCTATGACAGAGGCTTCACTAGAGGGTGAATCACATTTTTGTATGAATTTAGAAGCTGAGAAACAAGAGTTAAAGAAGGGATTAGGTCAGAGCAGAAGTCAATCCCAACATGAAAAGGAAAAGTGAAAGAAATGAACAGTCAAGGACTTAAATCTATCTTTGCATTATAGCTGGCATCAAGAAATGAAGAAAAATGGTGAATTAGAAAAAGAGATTAATAGGCTTAAGGAGTTTTGAGAAGATTCTTGGATTCCAGATGTTCTTTAAGATGGGCTGGGAAATAAAGGAGCCTGGCCACCCTCCAGAGCAGGCCTCAGTGCTGCCCAGCAGAAAGGTCATGTGAATGAGCCAACCCCAACATCGCCCCAGGAGTCAGTGTGCCAGTGTGGAGACATAGCTGGATGACAGAATCAGACCCACATGTTCCGTTACTAGAATAGTTCATTGAGAACTGCTTTATTGGCAAGTGTGTGAATGACTCTGGGTAAGGAAACTGGGCCTGTACCTCCTGAGTAACTCATGTGGCCCAGGCCATCCCTCTACTTACTTATTTTCTTAGCCTCCTCCTTAGTGAGAGGCTGTTCACAATGCTAGGTAAGCTTTCTTCCCTTGACAAGTCTACCAGCACAGGGTGATGGCTGGGAAGCACTAAGTAAACCATCTTCCTGCCAAGTAGAATCCTAATCTTCATGTTATTAAATCATCAAAAACACTTTGTTTACAAGATCATCAAAATTAATATTTGGTTTTCAAAGAAAAAGAAATGTAATTGATTCATTAAAAAACATATTTGTAAGCTGATTGGGTGGCTCAGTTGGTTGAATCATCATCTTGTACACCAGAAGGTTGTGCCTTCCATTCCCAGTTGGAGCCTATTGTGCAAGGTGAGTGATCAATGTTTCTCACATCAGTGTTTATTTCTCTCTCGTTCTCTCAAATTAATAAACATATCCTCAGGTGAGGATTAAAAAAACAAAAACATTTGTAATTATTGTGCATTTTTATCTGTATTTTATGAATAGTCTCAAAGATTCCCATGCCTCTGTCAGTTTCCTGACGTAAGTCCATCTCACTTATGTAATTATCTATAATAATAAAAGTGTAATATGCTAATTAGACCAGATGTCCTTCTGGAAGAACTTCCAGATGAAGCTGGGGCTGTAAGGGAAGCCTGGGTCCCAGGTGCCAGAGGGAAGCCAGTGCCAGCAGCTGGGATAAGGAAGGCCTACTCTTGCACAAATTTTGTTCATCGGGCCTCTAATAAATAATAAATCAGCATTTTGTTGATTTAAGATTTTCATCCAAAAACTCAATAACAGCTTCTTCATCTGCTGATTGAAGCAGTCTCTGAATTAGCTGATCCAGGCACTTCTCCCCACATAAAAATTTCTGGTAAAAGAGAGAAATTTTTATGAAAATCTGATCAGTAGAAATAAAGGAGAAATGAAGAAAAGAACTGGGTGTATTTTTAATTCTTTTCTTTACAGTCATTTTTTAATAGCAACCAAGAATTACTAAGCCTTTTTAATAAAAGGATAATATGCAAATTAATCATCACTCCACCACAAAAATGGTGGCACACATAGCCCCAAGATAGCAGCGCCCAGTCCTCTCAGCCTTGCTAGAGTCCCTCAGACTAAAGGGTCCTGAGTTCCATTCCAGTCAAGGACACGTACCTCAGTTGCAGGCTCAATCTGCATCATTCGTTGGGTGCGTGCAAGAGGCAATCAATAGATGTTTCTCTCTGTCTCTACCCCTCCCTTCCACTAAAAATATCCTTGGTTGAGAATTTAAAAAAAACAAAAAAAAAACCTAAATATAAGATTAGTTGATGCCAACAGCAAAACTTGAAATGTTCTGTGTTCCCGATGTCAACACTAACGTATTTCTATGAAGCCAATGTCTATATTTGGAGCATTTATGAAAAATATGAGAATGTGCTAATTGACTATCCCAACAACTATTACAAAAAACTTCTACAACACGGATGTGGAGAGGGTGCAGGTCGGACTGAGGGGCATCACACCCTCTCCCCTCCACTCCTCCCCAGTACACAAATTTGACTCCTCTAAAACTTTACTAATAGTCTACTGTGGACTCAGAGCTTTATCAGTAACATAAACAATCAATTAACACATAATACATTATATGTACTGTACACCATATATGTGCACTGGGGCTCTAGTTATCTAGATAAATAAAAATAAAAATATCCAAAAGGGAATTTACAAGAATACTGAGTGACCTTACATACCCCAAGGATAGAAATGTACAGGGCTACTGCCACCATCCTGGCAATGAAGCTGGGCCTCAGGAATAAATGAATATGGGAATTCATATCATCAGGATTTTCCATCCAGTTTTCATGTTTGCTCCTTTCAATTTTTTAGCCTCAATTTTTTCTCTCACTGAATATTGCTTTCTCCCATGACTAAAAATGTGGCTTTTAACCTCCTGTAAACTTTAAGTACTTCAGATTTAGCCACCAAGGGGAGGATGACCTTGTGTGTCTCCAGTTTAAAAATCCTAGGAAGGAATTCATTGGATGGGACTTGTTCAGATTTCCTCTCCAAATAAATCAAGTATTGTCTTGGGTCGGGATCATGATTATGTCAGAACATAGAAGTGCCATCAGGGACTATGTGGATGGACTAGGGAAAAGGTCAGGGTCTAGAATAATGAGAGAGCAGTCCCACAGACATCTACTTTCTCTCCTCTCCACCCCTTCCATTCTGTTTTATAGCAGTTCCTCTGGACCTAAGGCCCTTGTCACTTTTCTTTCCACATCCACAACTATTCAGTTCCTACACTAGTGTCTTTCCTGCGTGCAGATTTTAATGTTTTACTACATTTTTTATGGCATTTTTCTTTTCACTAATATGGAACATGTTTTTTTTTTCTCCCTAATAAGCTGGTTAGTGATTAATAGAGCATACCAATATGATTTTCCTTATCACTTCTGTGTTTGCTGTGCTTGTTTGGTTAGTAATAATGCGTTATTATTTAGGCCAAAGTCAAATATTTTGTAAGTATAAAAGCCAGTTATCTGCTCTTGCTTCATGACTGAATACTATACTGAGCACCTACCGTGTTTCCCCGAAAATAAGACATCCTCCGAAAATAAGACTTAGCGCATAGAAAGATAAGACATCCCCTGAAAATAAGACCTAGCACAACTTTGGGAGAAAAAATTAATATAAGATAGTATCTTATTTTTGGGGGAACAGGGTATGTGCCCTTCTAAAATATATTACTGGTCATAAGAATGTCACTGTCTCATAGAAAATTGTCACCACTACTAGAAAAAGAACTAAAAAATTGTGGTATAATTAGGACAATATGGTCAAATGTGTTTGGCTATTACTGCGTTTCCTGAGGAAAGGGAAGTTAGCAAATATTTTCTCCTTTTCAACATGGCACTTATGTTTCCTATGTAAGGCAGCCATAATTGCTGAGAAAACAGAGGAAATGGCATAAGATACACAGAAATTTCTTAATACTAAAAAATGTAGCCCTGGCTGGGTAGCTCAGTTGGTTAGAGCATCGTCCCAATATGCCAACGTTGAAGGTATGATCCCCAGTCAGCACGTACAAAAATCAACCGAGTGCATAACTAAATGGAACAACAAATCAATGTTTTTTTCGGCTCTCTCCCTTCTGCTCTCTCCCTCTCTCTAAAAATCAACCAATCAATAAATAAGTAGACATTTCTCTTGTAAAATTAGGACTTTAATTTTGAGTTCAAAATGGAATAGAATCAAGTAAAAGAGCCCCTAGGTATCACATGGCACCAAGGAAAAGAATAAAAACTTTTCTTGCTTTTCTACCTAGTCCTATATGGGCACTGCCCCCATCAGTGGAAGAAAATGGAAAATTTCCTGTGTTTCATCATTAATGTATTAATGTCATGGTCCTGGTTAACGTTCCAACCAAACTGACATGATCTTTCCCCAACAGTTAACTGTAATACCTTGATCTAATGAATGTATGTTATGGTAATGCAGATATATAAGATGCCCTCTAGTGTATACACCTTTCATAATCCTCTCCCTTAACTGCAGGCAGAAACTGTGAATATGGTGGAATATCACTCCAGTGATCAGTTTGACTTTAAGTTAAAAAGGGGTATTTATACAGGGGGGCCTGACCTAAACATGTGAGCCCTTAAAATGGCCTGAGCCATTTCTACGAGAGGTTCAAAGTGAAAGAGGACATAGGAGGGGCCATATAGCAAGCAACCATGTGGATCTTTGGGAGCTGAGAGTATCAGCATCCAGCTGATGGCCAGCAAGAAAATGGGGGCCCCTCTCCTACAATTCAAGAAAATGCAATTCCACCAACAACCACATGAGCTCGGAAGAGGGCTCTATGCTCCACTGCCAGTGGTATAAAAGTAGCATATAAAATTTTGTACAGTACATAATGCTTGATAATGATAATAAGCTTGTTACTGGCTAATGAATTTACTATACTATACTTTTAATTGTTATTTGTAGAGTATACTCTTGACTGATTAAAAACAACATTTTCTGTAAAACAGTACGCCTGGTTTACACTAACAGCAGCCTTATACATCTAATGTTTACCATGTCTTTTGATTGCAGCGTTTTCTTTTGTGTTTGATTTAACTAAGTTTGCAGCAGGCTCTACCATCTGGGTTTGTGTAAGTGCATTCTATGATGTTTGCACAATGATTAAATCGCATAACGATGCATTTCTTACAACATGTGCCAGGGGTAAAGCAGCATATGACTATATTTAAAATATATTAATGCCCTAGCTGGTTTGGCTCAGTGGATAGAGAAACGGCTTTTGGACTAAAGGATCCTGAGTTCAATTCCAGCCAAGGGCACATGCCCACCTTGCAGGCTCAGTCCTCAGAAGAGGGCGTGTAGGATGCAACCAATCAATGATTCTCTCTCATTATTGATGTTTCTATCTCTCTCTCTCTCCCTCTCCCTTCCTCTCTAAAATCAATTTAAAAAATCATTTTCTAAAAAGAGTAGCACCCTTGAAGCTTACACTGTTTAAAAAAAAAAATTAAATCATTGTGGCTGTATAACAAAGAAATTAGAACTTATAAGATAGTTGTTCCAAACTGGCATAAAGATCATGATTCTTACCAGTAAACTAATAAAAATGTTTGCAAATTTTAAGGTACTAACATAAATTGATTTAATGATTTAAAATTATTTACTGATATTTTAGACATTACTCTCTAGAATTTGACTATACTTTCTTGAAAAGTCAAAGGTACATAAAGCATACTCAGTGTTATTACCTTAATGTCACGAACTTCATATGCTATCCTGTGGTCAGTGACTCTGTCCTGGGTGAAATTATATGTCCGAATTCTCTCTGACTGGGCTCTTGTTCCTACCTGTGCCATAATAAAAAGCAATTCATATTTAAACTTTAAAATTACCTCTATTACAATGAAAAAAATTACTTTCTTATTTTAACAGCTTAAATATTTTTTAAAATTATATATACATAGTGGCAAAGAGCAATTTATTTTATACCCCCAATACCAGGAAGTTATCATCAATTTATTTGCATTCTTAAGTAGGCTTAGGATGCCTGGATTTACATATCTCGTCCCGCCCCTGCCGACACCTGGGCTGATATGAAGGCCAAGCTGACAACATGTCTGCCATCTTGGGGAAACATGTTCCCATGGCTTGGCTCTGCCAATCGTCTCGGTCTCAGCTGGCAACAATTAAAAGAAATGCTCATGTGCTTTCCCAGACAGCCCTCTACGGTTGGCTGTGGGAGCGCACTGACCACCAGGGGGCAGCTCCTGCATTGAGCGACTGTCCCCTGGTGGTCAGTGTGTCATACAACTGGTTGACCGGTCATCCAGTCAACCAGTCATAATGGTCAGAGAGGATCTTATATATATATACTAGAGGCCCAATGCATGAAATTTGTGCAAGAGTAGGTCTTCCCCCAACTGCCGGCACCAGCTTCCCTCTGGCACCCAGGACCTGGGCTTCCCTCACAGCCCCAGCTTCGTCTGGAAGGTTGTGTGGAAGAATGCCCAGTCTAATTAGCATATTACGCTTTTATTATTATAGACTAGTGGCCCAGTGCACAAAATTCGTGCATGGAGGGGGCAGTTTCTTCAGCCCGGCCTGCAACCTCTCCAATCGAGGACCCCCCGGGTAATGTCCAACTGCTGGTTTAGGCCTAATCGGGATGGGGCCCAAACCAGCAGTCAGACATCCCTCTCGTAATCTGGAACCGTTGGCTCCTAACCACTCACCTGCCTGCCTGCCAGCCTGATCACCCCTAACTGCCTCTGCCTTCATGATCACCTCTAACTGCCCTCCCTTGCCAGCCGGATCTTGCCACCAACTGCCCTCTTCTGTCTGCCTAGTTGCCCCCAACTGCCCTCCCCTGCCGGCCTGATCTCACCCCCTACTGCCCTCCTCTGCTGGCCAATTTGGTTCTAACTGGTCAGTTTCTATGCCAGTCAGCATCAAAAGCTCTGTCTCTAGGCAACCATTATTGACCCAGATTTGGTTCTGATTGACCAGTTTCTATGCCAGTCAGCATCTCTGAGCCTATCAGCGGGGCCTGATCAGAAAGGTGTGGCTGATCAGTAGTTCCGTGGAGGCCTAGAGGGAAATGGACACAGGGCTGCTGGCCTGGCTATGAGGGAAAGAGAGAGGCAAGTGCTGGTCAAAAGTTGCCTCAGATGATACAGATCAGCCCGTTTCTCTCTTCAGATCTCTTTCAGGGCCTGATTCAAAACCCCCTCAACAGTCACTGCTGAGTCACTGGGCCTGCAGCCACAGTAGTCAGCGCTGGGTTGCCATAGCAACCTTTGGTCATGCTCTGTCGTTACATCCTGGCTCTTTATTATAGAGATGGCTTATACCAAATAAATCTTACCTGTAGTTTTCTAGCACTTTGTTGTTGACACTTGTCTTTCTCAATCATCTGCTGATAAAGTCTAGCTCTCAATACACGCAAAGCTATTTCTTTATTTTTTATCTGTGATCTTTCTTGTTGGCATTCTACTACAAGCCCTGAAAAATAACAGGAATTAAAGGTAAAAATTGTAGCCTCCATGAGCCAAATTGAGATAGAAGTGAGGTGTCAGTTATAGTTCAATACAACTGGGAGTCGGTGGTGAAGAAGAGAAAGACTTAAGGAATATTTTAAAGTTCCCCCAGGTTAATCAGGAAAAGATCACAAAGGACTAAGTACTTTTTTATTATTTCTTATTTTTTAGATTTAGCATATTTCAAAACTTACATTTGTTCTGATAGTAATAGTGAAAGATGGTTAGATTCTTTTTTTCTTTTTTTAAAATATATTTTATTGATTTTTCACAGAGAGGAAGGGAGAGGGATAGAGAGCTAGAAACATCGATGAGAGAGAAACATCGATCAGCCGCCTCCTGTACATCATCTACCGGGAATGTGCCCATGACCAATGTACGTGCCTTTGACTGGAATCGAACCTGGGACCCTTCAGTCCACAGGCCGACGTTCTATCCACTGAGCCAAACCAGTTTCAGCAAGATGGCTAGATTCTGATACCTAACTGAGATATTTCCAATGAGAAAACTGAAAGGGGTCACATCTGCAAATGGTTACACAAACTTTCATTCCCACAGCTCTGCCTCTCCATCCCAGTTCATCCAGAGACTTTTGTAGCTCAATGCAGTACAAAATACTGTCACCCCCAATATAATGCTGCTCCATTCTCTGTCCTATTAGAGAAGTCAGGTTTTCCCCTTTAAATTACAAATATACATAAGAGCTGATGCTTTAAAAAAAAGGGGAAAGGGACTTTAGAAACCAATGGAAAGAAACGATTCAAACTCTTTTTTTGGTTAATTCTCACCAGAGGATATTTTTCCATTGATTTTTTAGGGAATGGAAGAGAGAGGGAAAGACAGAGAAAATCGATGTGAGAAACATTGGTTGTCTTCTGCATGCACCTGACCAGGGCCTGGGCCGGGAAGGAGCCTGCAACCAAGGTATGTGCCTTTGACCAGAATCAAAGTCCGGACCCTTTGGTCTAAAGGCTGACACTCTAATCTCTGAGCCAAACTGGCCAGGGCTCAAACTCAAAGGAAAAGTTTATAATGAGCCGAAGCCAGTTTGGCTCAATGGATAGAGCGTCGGCTTGGGGACTGAAGGGTCCCGGGTTCGATTCCAGTCAAGGGCATGTACCTTGGTTGCAGGCATATCCCCGGTAGGGGGTGTGCAAGAGGCAGCTGATCGATGACTCTCTCTCATCGATGTTTCTAACTATCTCTCTCACTTCCTCTCTACAAAATCAAAATATATTAAAAAAAAAAAAAGTTTATAATGAATGTTTCTCAGTTGTCTTGGTTCTAAAGACAACTCATCAACACATCTAAATACACATTTTCATTAGCCATCTTCCAAATTTGGGTGGGTTTGACCCACTGTAGAGTCCGGTAACTAGCCCAAATGGAGCCCAGGAATGGTGCCTTGAAGCTTTGGGCTGCTGTTCTTAATTTTGTAGCTATCACTCTAAGATGTGTGTCCAATTCTGCTCCCTGGTACATATGTAACAGGGAGCCAGCTGCCCTGATAGGGTGGTAACTATTTTGCAGATTTTTAAAATGTGTATAAAATTCTACTCTCAAAACTACTGTCACAGGGTTGTGCTACCACATTATTAATTAATCCTGAAACTGCTACTGGCTTTATCTTCTTGTCTTCTCTTATTCTCTAACATTGTCCCTGACAAAAACAGGCTGAACTCATTAAGAAAGGGTGCAAGCCGAAACTGGTTTGGCTCAGTGGTACAGCGTTGGTCTGTGGACTGAAGGGTCCCGGGTTCGATTCCAGTCAAGGGCATGTACCTTGGTTGCGGGCACATCCCCGGTGGGGGGTGTGCAGGAGGCGGCTGGTCGGTGTTTCTCTCTCATCGACATTTCTAGCTCTCCCTCTCCCTTCTTCTCTGTAAAAAATCAATAAAATATATTTAAAAAAAGAAAAAAAGAAAAATAAAGCATGCAAATTCCACACTGTGCTAAGCCAGTGGATAGAAACCAGATAAGAGACTCAAGGACCACAGGTTTAAGCTGGAAAATGCCACTAGGATGAAAGAAAAGTGAACGTCAGATGAACTATGACTAACTGACATACTAACATGACTGCAGGGTGAGGGTAGGGAGATTTTCTGCCAGACACATTTTGGACTGTGTGCAGAAGGAAGATGATAATTGCGCATGTCCTCTCCATCCTATGGAATGTGTACCTCCTGGAAAAAATTTGATTCTCTAGGTTTTTTAGTTGTCTCTTAAGTCTTACCCTGGTCCTTTAAAATTATATAAATATAACTTGTTTCACTATTTACCTACTTCTTATATAAAAACAGTGAAGACTAATTGTGCCAAAATACTCATCTACTACATTAAGTAGTGAATATATATTCTCATATTAATTAGATCTGCCTATTAATTAGAAACACTGAGATAATTACCAGAAAAGAAATAGCTAAAAGAGTTTAAAATGTTTGCCTCTGAGTAAATTTAGGGTCAAGGAGGGAAAGAGGGGGAGGAAGAAAAGGCCCAGGGAGCTGCTATTTTTTGTTATAGGACTTTATCATTGGACTATTTTTTGTTTTTAAAACCAACATTTAAAAAAATACTGATTTCAGAGAAGAAGGGAAAGGGGGAGAGAGAGAGAAATATCAACGATGAGAGAGAATCATTGATTGGCTGCCTCCTGCACGGAGATCCAGCCTGAAACTGGAGCATGTGCCCTGACCAGGAAATGGAACCATGACCTCCTGATTCATAGGTTGACACTCAACTACTTAGCCACACCTGCCAGGCTATTATTGGACTTTAAAACCATATACATGTAATACATATATATGTAAAATTGAGTTTAAAAAGAAAAGAAATTTAAAAAGTTTAAAAACCTGAAAAATGATAGAAATCTTTAAAATCACATTAAGCACTTTAAAATTACCTCGTAGTTTAACAAAATCACCAGTATTCAAGGTAATCACGTTCGTGCAGCAGAGCCTAGTGAAGCTAGCAGTCAGTCTACACGGTGATAAAATCACAATGGCACATCCAATACTACTTGCAAGTTTGTTTTTAGGCTAGGGTACATCTGGCTGTTGAGCCCTGTGTAGCATACTTAGACAGCTTCCCTGAATAGGCCCACTCACTCTCTGTCTCCTTTGAGAGGTATCTTTCCAAACAAGAGAGAAATATGAAATCATTGGAAACCTTAAGACATTTAACCCCAATGCCACCTTTAAAGAGTTTTTGTAAGGAAACAAACACACATGACTCTTTCCTTCTAAACACTAAATAGTTTTATAAGACATGAAAACAGATTAAAAGACTTGCTTACCTGTGGGGAGATGGACAAGTCTGACAGCACTATCAGTTGTATTAACATGCTGGCCTCCCGCTCCTTTGGCTCGAAATGTATCTATTCGCAAATCCTTAGCGTCCACTTTCACATCTACCTAGAACAAAAAGTGTAACAAATTCTACACTCAACAAATACTTCAATACTAAATTTATTCCAAAAATTTTCAAATACAGTGGTGCCTCACACAACGAACTTAATTCGTTCCAGGAGCAAGTTTGTTATGCGAAAAGTTCGTTATGTGAAACGCGTTTTCCCATAACAATACATGTTAAAAAAAATAATTCGTTCTGTAGCATAAAATATGCTAAGATGACATGAAAAAAGATAAATTTTTTGTTATTATTTTTATTTAGATACATCATGATATAAAAAAAATATTGAGTTTAACTTAAAAGGACGACTGCCGTGATACGTGCGTGATTTAATTCGTAATGAAGAACGATTGCCGTGATACGTGCTTAAGTTAAGCGCAGTGACTAACGACTGCCTGCAATGCCTGCGCGGAAGGATGCAATACATCGGCAGCGATCGTGGAAGCTCGGGTGAAGCAGTCGTGGAAGCTCGGGCAAAGCGGTCGTGGAAGCTCGGGTGACTTCGTTGTGTGAAACGAAGTTCGTTGTACGAATCATGAAATGAAGTTCGTTGTGTGCAGCGCTCGCTGTGCGAGGCGTTCTTTATGCGAGGCACCACTGTAAACTGTATTGCTTTGTGGCATAAATCATAGCTATTAGACTAAGAGGTGAAATAAACTCCCTATTTCAATGGATACTGTTTTTTAATATTGACTTAAGGTGCTATGAGATCATTAAGTTATACAAACTTTCAAGTCTCATCATCTGTCACCCGACAAAGCTACATTAGATAGAAAATTTATAAAATATGTATGTAAGTATAATATATCTATAAAGTTAATACTTATTATTCCAATTCTATATTTGCAAATTCACCTACTTCCTAAAATTTATTTGTACCCCAAAGTCAATTATTACAGCACTTTCACAGTCATTAGAAGACATGCACAGAAAAGCAAAATTTCACGTTGCTGCACATTCCACTTTTTTTTTAAATATATTTTTTATTGATTTCAGAAAGAAAGAAAAAGGAAGAGAGAGAGAAGCATTAATGATGACAGAGAATTGATTGGCTGCCTCTTACACAGCCCCTCCTGGGGATCAACCTGGGAATGTACCCTGACTAGGAATCGAACCATGACCTCCTGGTTTAAAGGTTGACAATCAACCACTGAGCCACATTTAAAAAGCTTTGCGGATTCTGTTTTATGCAGAGAACAAAACATCTTGGTCAGAGATAAAAGGTGTAACTTTACCTAGGGAGGAGTTAAGGATTTCTCAAAAGTGACTATAAAGTTCGATAGGTAACCTTGAAAAATCACTGAATTTCCTAGAAGCTAAGACTTTTCAGAGTAACAAACATTTACAAAGAGTAGGTTTTCAATGCCTCCTGGTGAGGTTACCTCATGTGGTTGAGGAAGGACAATAACTGACATTGTTCCTGTGTGAATACGCTGCATCCTGGACGACAGGCCCACCTCAGGGATTCGCTGAACTCGGTGAATCCCACCTTCATACTTCAAATGCTTATAGACATTGTCACCAGAAATTCGGGCAGCTGCATGATGTAGCCCACCTAGGAAAAAATATCTAGAAATGATTAATGATTCTAATTTGAAAAGGATCAAGATCTTAAATGTCCTTAATCTAAGGTCTGAATGTGAATATAGCTCCTTAGATGAGAACATAAAGTAGATACAAAATTATTTTCCAAATGTAAATGTATTAATATATAAAAATAAACACACCAAAATATTAGGTATGGTTATTTCTGAGGAACAGAATAACAACAGATTTTTCCTTTTTATACTTGTTTGTTTCTAAATTTTCTATAATAAGCAAGTTTTACTTTTAAAAAATTACTATTAGAAAAAAATACTGGGACATTTTCTTCTTGAATTACCCTATGCCACCTTAAGTTAATATGGTGCCATACATAAAAGAATGTTCAATTACATAATAATTTGATAATGATAAATAATATAGGGCCTCCCAAGTTTTCAAGAATCTATTGAAATATAGCTCTTCCTTATCTGTTGAATGGGAAGATTATCACAAAATAATCTTAATGCTAGTTTCTTATCAAATGTGTTTTTTAAAAAGATTTTTATGCAATAATATACAGATAATAGAAAACCACATGAAACAAATGTATGGCTTAGTTACTTCAAGATCAAGAAAAAGAACTTTGTCAGTCATCTTAAAAGCTCTTTGACATGCCCTTCGAAGTTACAATCTCTTTCCTTTCTCATGAGTAACCATTATTCTGAGTTTTACTCCTTTTTTAATAATAATTGTATTACCTGGCTGAAACTGATTTGGCTCAGTGGATAGAGCGTTGGCCTGCGGATTGAAGGGTCCCAGCTTCGATTCCGGTCAAGGGCATGTACCTTGGTTGTGGGCACATCCCCTGTGGGAGGTGTGCAGGAGGCAGCTGATTGATGTTTCTCTCTCATCGATGTTTCTAGCTCTCTATCCCTCTCCCTTCCTCTCTGTAAAAAAACCAATAAAATATATAATAATAATAATAATAATAATTGTATTATCTGAATGTGCTGCCCTAGGCACCACAGGTAGTCTTAACATTTTAAAAAGTTTGATTATGTATTTTAAATCTCTTCATTCATCTCTCTTTCTCTCCCCCCCCCTACAAATTATCTGTGGAGAAATCAGCTGTGACCTGTAGAATTTCCTACAGTCTGGTTTTGCTGATTGCACTCTTTTTAATTTAAATTTTTTTTTTTTTTTTTTTTTTTTTTTTTTTTTTTTTTTTTTTTTTTTTTTACAGAGAGGAAGGGAGAGGGATAGAGAGCTAGAAACATGGATGAAAGAGAAACATCGATGAGCTGCCTCCTGCCCACTTCCTACCGAGGATGTGCCCGCAACTGAGATACATGCCCTTGACTGGAATCAAACCTGGGACCTTTCAGTCCAAAGGCCGATGCTCTATCTACTGAACCAAACCAGTTAGGACTGATTGCATACTCTTGGTGAAATTCAACCTGTGCTGTTGCCCTCTCTATTGTCTGCAACTGGGCAGCTAGATCCAGGTACTAGATCAGACACCAGCTTGAGCTCCTTGGTAAGACTATAGGAAGCACATAATGTCTGGTTCTCTCTTTTTATGGACCTGACAGCCTTTGATGCTTAATTGTAAAATGGTGATAGTCTAATCCTATCATTTTTTTTTCCCACTTTTAAAATATTTATCTATCCCATTTGTCCACCAACCAGGTCTGAAATATCATGGCTGACATGTACACATAAGGAACTATTTGACATTGAAATTGGGACTCAAAAGAACTGTTGGCCCAGAAAGGAACTCACTACAGACTGATTCATTTGCCTCTCAGCATAACCATTATGGTTTGTTGCAGTTTAGGTTCTTACAAGGGTATTTCTTGGATCACAGGATCTCACACATCTAGAGGAAATAATGAACAACATAAACTGATGAATAAAAACAGACCCAGAGAAAGAGAAGCAGTGATCAGACTCTCAAACCTCAGAGGGAAAGGAAGGGAGAGTGGGGGTAAGGGGAAGAGATCAACCAAAGGACTTGTGTGTATGCATATGGGCCTAGCCAGTGGCAATGGACAACAGGGAGGTGGGGGCATATGTAGGGAGGGGTTTGGGATGGGAATGGGGGGGATAAGAACAATTATGTGAGACAATAATCAATAAAATAAATTTAAAAATAAAAATAGAAAAATAAAATTAAAATATTTATCTATTTATCTACCTACCTATCTATGTATATACATTTGTATTGCTTTCAGAGAGGAAGGGAGATGGAGAGATAGAAACATCAATGGTAACAGAGAACCACCAATCGGCCACCTCCTGCACACCCCCATTGGGGATCAAGCCAGCAACCAGGGCATATGCCCTGACCAGGAATCGAACCTTGACCTCCTGGTTCATAGGTTGCTGCTCAACCACTGAGCCATGCCAACTGGGCTCTTTTTCACTTTTAATTAAAGTGAATTTATAAAGAGATATTCCCCTTGCCTACTATTTGATTACACACTGATACAGTTATATAGGAAAGGCAGGATTAATGCTTGATTCTATCCCTTTACTAGTTTACTAATTAATATACCTTTCTGTTCTATTGCTTTATAGAGAATGGAAGGGAGGGAAAGAAACATCGATGTGAGAGAGGCACATTGATTAGTGTTGGAAATCCAACCTGCAATCCAGGTATGTGCCCTTGAACCTGAGACCCTTTGGTGTGGAGGATGCCATTCTAACCACTAAGCAATATGGGAAGACCTGATATCTTTTTTTTTTTTAAACAATATAATGAAGTAGGTAATTATTTTTTTAATATATCACTGTGAACTCAAGGATTTGAACACAGTCAGCATGGTTAAATCAATGGCAATTATTGATTAAAACTCCACTTGAGCCGAAACCAGTTTGGCTCAGTAGATAGAGCGTTGGCCTGCGGACTGAAGGGTCCCTGGTTCCATTCTGGTCAAGGGCATGTGCCTTGGTTGTGAGCACATCTCAGTGAGTGATGTGCAGGAGGCAGCTGATCGATGTTTCTCTCTCATTGATGTTTCTAACTCTCTATCCCTCTCTCTGTAAAAAATTAATAAAATATATTAAAAAATAAAAAATAAGAAAAAATAAAACTCCACTTGCCCCATCTTTGGTCAGTGGAAATTTCTTCAGGTTAACTTTTGAGTTCTTTTGAGATGGCTCTTTTTTATATATTTTTATTGATTTCAGAGAAGAAGGAAGAGAGATAGAAACATCAATGAGAGAGAATCATTGATTGGCTACCTCTATAATAATAAAAACATAGTACTATGCTAATTAGACCAGAGAAGCGAACAACCTTCTGGACAAAGCCCCAGCAGCGAGGGCTGAGGCAGAGGCAGTTAGGGGCAAATGAGGCAGGCAGGCAAGTGAATATAATGGGATCAGGGATATAGAAAGGGAGTCGACTGACAATTCTCAGGGGGAAGGAGGTCTGAGGGGTACAGGAAGAGATTGGACAAAAATCTTACACCTATGAATAAAGACAGTGGTGGGGATAAGGGCATGGGGTGGGGTGGGGAATCAGGTAGAGGGGAGCTATGGGGGAAAAAATAAAAAAGAGGAACACTTGTAAAAAAGAAAGAAAGAAAGAAAGAAAGAAAGAAAGAAAGAAAGAAAGAAAGAAAGAAAGAAAGAAAGAAAGAAAGAAAGAAAGAAAGAAAGAGGGAGGGAGGGAGGGAGGGAGGGAGGGAGGGAGGGAAGAAAGAAAGAAAGAAAGAAAGGAAGGAAGGAAAAGGAAGGAAGGAAGGAAGGAAGGAAGGAAGGAAGGAAGGAAGGAAGGAAGGAAGGAAGAAAGAAAGAAAGAAAGATGGGTGCTTTCCCCCTTTCTCTATTTTAGTCTTTTTCTTCTTCTTTTTTGAATCACCCAAGGATATTTTTCCATTCATTTTTTTCTCTTTTTTTCACTGATTTTTAGAGAGTAGAAGTAGGGGGTAGTGGGGAGAGACAAAGAGAGAAATATTGATTGGTTGCCACCTGCACATGCCCCTGACTGGGGCTAGGGATTGAGCCTGCAACTAGGTACCAAGTACATGCCCTTGCCCGGGAATTGAACCCAGGACCCTTCAGTTCGAGGACCAATGCTCTATCCACTGAGCCAAAACGGCTAGGGCTATTTTAGTCTTCTAACCACATCGTTTTCTTTTCCTAATTACAACAAATAAGTCAATTTTTAAAAATTATAATTTCAATGGAGGTTAATTCCTAGTCTTTAATTTTAAAGTATATAAATAAAATATTTTAAGTGTCTGCTTTTTGAAAAACATTGTCTTACTTTTAAAAAGATCTTTATTTTGCCAGTGAGTCAGTGTATCTAAAAGAGAGGCTTCCCAACCATTGTCTAGGCTGCTCTACATTCCTGAGATACTGATCTCTTCCTATTGTTAAGTTCTCGCCCTCTCATTCCTGAAAATTGGATTCAAAATATATATTTCAGAGGTCACTGATGACATTTTCCATTATTCTCTTTTATAATGCTGCTGTTTCTGATTAGATTCTCCTTGAAACTCTCTCCTCTCTTGCTCCCATATTATACTGTCCTCATCCTTTTTCTTCTTATCTGACTCCTCTTTTTCTTTTGCCAACTAGTCTATATTTCTAAATGTGGCCATTCTCCCAGGTTTGGCGCCCTGGAGATCCCTCTCTAGACTCTCCCTCACCTATTTCTCAGTATCAGACATTATCTCTGTGCTGACAGCTATCAAACATCTTTCTTCAATTCTGTTCTCTCACCAAAGCTCTGGTTACTTTACAATTTACTGAATATTTCTAAATGAATGCTCAGTATAACTACAAACTTAATAATTCCAAAACCACTTATCATTATTCTTACCAAATGGGCTGGCTCTGCTTTGTAATTTCTATCCCATCCAATGGCATGAATGAATATTGCAATGCTGATAGCTACAAGTGTTAGAATCCCTGTGGCTCATCTCCTTTATAACAGAATAGACTAATGCTATGTATTGTGGCTCTGGATCAGATAGGCTTAAAGTTAATCTTCTGATTGCCATTACTTATTGGATTAGTTACTTACTCTTTTGAGTCTACATTAGGGGTGTCAAACTCAATCAGAGAAGGGGCCAAAATCTAAAATCCAGCCTAAATCGAGGACCGAATGGTTTACTGAACAGTCATAAACTGACAATGTTAACCAGAAATGTGAATTTAAAATGAGTGGAACAATCTTTTCCTTAACAGTGCTGTTAACCAACTCACATGCTATCAAGCAAAACAGTAATATTGGTATCAAGCAAAACAGTAATATTGGAATGTACCTAAAATGGTCATTGTTTTGTTTTCTGGCTAGATGTCTGACACCGTTTTCCCCGGATCAATGAGTCAATGTTCGGTTTTATTTCTTGGGCTGTAGCAACCCGCAAAACAGCATGGAGGTTGTCATCGGTAATGCGTGATCTGTGCTTGTTTTTGTTCAGATTCATTATTGAAAACATCTGTTCACAAAGATAGGTGCTCCCGAACATGGATAGAATACGGGCAGCATGAAGTCGGAGCTCTGGCATTGAGTCAGGGGGCAGTAGAGGGTAGAAGTCCTCAATTTCAACATCCTGAAACCTTGATTTCAGGCCACTGTCAGACTGAAACTCGATTATCTCCATCTGAAGGTGATGGGGCACATTGTTGACATCAACTGTAAAAGGATTGGCAAAGATGTCAAAGCCTGAGTGCTGTGTTCTAAAGTCAGAGAAGCGCCGCTCAAATTCACTTAGTAAACGGCTAACTTTGGTAGCCAGCCGACTGCAAGGAAAAGTACCAGAAATAGTGGTTGAGATACTCAAACAAATGGGAAAGTGGGCAAGATTGTCCTGTTCCAGTTGGGACTTCCATAGTTGAAGTTTACACTGGAATGCTGTGATCATGTCAGACATCTTCGTGATGACTTGTTTGCGTCCCTGTAGCTTCAGATTCAGTTGGGCGAGATGCTCGCATATGTCACACATCATAGCAAAATCACATAGCCAGGCGGGATCCGACAGTTCAGGCAAGGGCTTTCCTTTACTTTCCAGGAAAAGAGCAATTTGTTCTCTGAGCTCAAAAAATCTTTTGAGGACTGCGCTCTTGCTCAGCCATCTTACTTCTGTGTGTATGGCACGTCTCCATGCTCTGCACCCACCTCCTGTAAAAACTGCTGGAACTGGTGATGATTCAGGCCACGTGCCCGTATAAAGTTAATAGTTTTAATGACTGTGGTCATTATGTCATTCATGTCTAGAACTTTTCCACACATAGCCTCTTGGTGGATAATGCAATGATAAGTAATCAAGGGTGTGTGGCAGTGACTTTTTTGCATTCTTTCCTTCATTAGTCCAACCAAGCCTTTCTTTTCTCCGCACATTGAAGGTGCACCATCGGTAGTTAGCCCCACCAACTTTTCCCAGGGTAATTTAAAATTATTTATAGATTTCTCCACAGCCTCAAATATATCTCTACCAGTCGTCGTCCCATGCATGGCAGCTACATCCAAAAGTTCCTCAGTGACAGAGAGGTCGGTCTTCGTAGCACGTATAAAGATGGACAGCTGCGCTGTATCAGTGTTGTCTGTGCTTTCATCGATAGCAAGTGAAAAAGTGAGATAACTGCATGCCTGTTTGGCCAGCTGTGATGATAGATTTCCTGAGAGTTCTTGAACTCTATCTGCAATGGTGTTTCTTGACAAACTGACATTTTGAAAACTCTGTATCTGGTCTGGGCATACTTGCTCACACACTTTTAGCATGCATTGCTTCAAAAAGGCACCCTCTGAAAAACACCTTGAAGTACGGGCAATTTCTTCAGCCACTATAAAGCTTGCTTTCACTGCAGCATCATTTTTCGCTGTAGCCTTTGTAAACATTTGCTGCTGTGATTGTAGTTTGCCTTTTAGTTCTTTAACAATTTTATGCTTTTCTTCCAAAGTATATTTGCCATACTTAACATTATGTTTGGTGTCAAAATGACGACGTATATTGTACTCTTTCATCACCGACACTGTCTCATAACAAAATATACACACTGGTTTGCCCTCTCTAAGCACAAACATGTATTCATTTTCCCATTTGTCATTAAATTGTCTGCCTTCACCATCAACTTTTCTTTTCCTGGACATTTTGGGATCAATATTGGCAGTAAAAGATGTAGTTTATTGGAAATCTGCGTTAGAAGGAAAAAGTTGAAAACTGCACAGGGATAGCCTGATTTGGCAGATGGAGTGGAGAAAAAAAAGTCAGTCAATAAATGCCTGGCTGGGTACAGATAGCAGATTCTGTTGCGATTTTTATGCCTGCACTTTATGCCAGGAACTGGCAGCTTCTGCTGTGTATTTTTTATGCCCGCACACTCACTCTCTCCTCTGCTCTGCCACCCGCACAACCACATCGGATGCCGGACTATAGGTCACGCCTCCTGAATCTCCGTGACTTGTTATCTATGCGCATGCGTAATAGATAGCAAGTACGGAGGCCGGAGAGATCACAAGCCTCCTATGTCACTGCGCGTCATTGTGATGGAACGCAGCGGAGTGCAGTGATGACAGCGCGGTGCGGGCCACATTGCAAGGCCTGGCGGGCCGGATTTGGCCCGCGGGCCTTGTGTTTGACATGTGTGGTCTACATCCTCATCTGTAAAATGAGACTAATAATACTTATCTCACGGGACTGTAAGGATCAAACAACCTACACTGCACATAGGACATATTAGGCAAGCAACAGCCCCTCTTGTAGTCAGACAGTTAGCAATTTTGCTCATTCTTTCTTTGAAGGTATCTCACATGTCTCCCTACTCCAAATTCTAACTCTCAGTCATATCTGGATTACTCGAATAACCTCTCTGCCTTAAATCTAACCTGTTTAATCCATTCTTTAGATTGTGTCAAAATAATCTTCTTAAAATGTGTACTTCTTGCCTGTCTGGCGTGGCTCAGTGGTTAAGCATCGATCTATGAACTAGGTAGTCACAGTTCGATTCCCTCTAAGGGCACATGACTTGGTTTCAGGCTCCATCCCCAGTATGGGGCATGCAGGAGGCAGCTGATTAATGATTCTTTCTTTTCATTGATGTTTCTGTCTCTCCCTCTCTCTCTCTGAAATCAATAAAAATATATATTTAAAAAGTTTATTTATCAAGTCATATTCTTATTAATAAAATCAACAACTTTCTATTCCCTGTCAAGGTCTGTTCAGCTTTCAAGGATGTTCAAACTCTACCCACTCAAGCCTATTTCCTATTACTTCTCATCACATAGGGAAGTTGGCTGGCTTACTGTCCTACACGCACACCAATCTTTCCCACCACCATGCTGCCGCTCAGGGCGTTCCTTCCTCTGCTCTCACTGGCTGTACTTAAAATCTGTACCAAGCACAACTTAGTTATGCTATATACTGGTTTTCATTTCCCTAGATTGTTTAACTTACATTAATCCTCTTTCTCCACTTTGATAGTTTGTGATTTATTATTCATGACCCCCTCTGTCTACTACAGTGTATCACTGTGTAACCAAGCAGATAACTACTTCCAGTGGATTAAAAGAATGGGAAGAAATTACTATCAGAAGTTCTGATTTAACATACTTAACATACTTGCAAGTTTAAAGGCTTGCATTGTTTGTTATTATTTATGTTGCTTAAGTTTTTATCAGCTCAAGTAAATGGAAATTTTTTGAAAATAAAGATTAATGACTAACTTCTGCATTCCCATAAAAATCTAACATATCATTAGCCATTTAGTCTAACTGGAAAACCATTCAATTATACATCATATAAGTCACAAAGTTCTTCAGAGTAAAACCCTTAACATACCTTTGATTTGAACAACAAAGCAATGCTTTTCCAGACAAGGTACATGCCTATCCTCCACAGGGAAATGTTCTCTTTCTTAGATATTCCTTTCTGGGAGGATATCTCCCTCCCTTCCATTCCTTCTCCCAGTTAAAAACTGTACTATGGTAAGCCACTGGATGAGTCTATGTCACAGTATTTAGCATATACAGATCAAATTTAAAAAAAAAAAAAAAACAGGACTACATGGGTCTAATGAAGCTCAAAGAAAAAATATTTTTCAGTATCATTGATGGACAGAATTCTCAACTAGACCTACCATAATCAGCCGGTGTATAATTCAGAAGTTCAAATGTCCAGTGTTTATAGCCTGAATAATTCTGGTACATGTCAAATATTTCCCGGGTAAATTGTTGGCAGATATCACCTAAAAGACAACACAAAAAATATCAAGTCGGCACAAATTTCTAAGAAAACCATTCTTAATTACAGGTTATAGTGTGTCAAATCAAAGTAAAATTTAGGTATTTCTTAGATTATTTACAATAAAATTATTTTACAGACCTCCAGTAGTTCTTCCAGATGTCACCTCTAAAATAACATCATTTTTGTCATATTTTTCCTTTGGCACTAAACTGTGGAAAAGCTAAAAACGAGAAAAATTATAAGCATTAGTATGTTCTATATATGTATATAGTATATACACTGTCATTACTTGAACTTAGGTAAAAGACCCGAAAGTACTTGTTTAAAAAAAAAATCAGTAATTAACAAAGTCATATAGTATCCCAATGAGGTCTACTCCTAAAATGCTCTATTAAGTAGACCTAATTAAACCTAAAGCAAGTGGTAAACTCATAATAACAATGAAGTTACTTGTCAGGATGTTCTCTACGATGCTACCAGACTAACTTAATTTTCTAAAATGCAGAAGTTTAGATCAAAGTCTAGTGTTCCATTCAATTTTCTTCAGAGTCTGCCTAATAGTTCTGAATAGTAACTTCTTTCACCTAATGAATAAAGTAAAGCTTTGGAAGTCTTCATTTCACATGATTGCATATTTTCTCCAGCCACAAATGACAGTGAGCACTAGGCTATGCCCTGCCTTCTCAGTAAAGTTGCTTTGTTTAAAGAGGTTGTTGAGGACTCCCAAGATAAGGTTCAAATGGTTTCTTAGCTGTGATAAGAAAAAAAAGAAGCAATCTAACAAAGAAAGTAACCAACTTTCCTCTTAGGAAGAAAAGGTAAGTAATTTTATTTTTATTATTACTAAAAGGTCTTTCAAATCAAACTAAAAATACCTATGGGTCATACTCCCTATTGTCAATTTTCAAAATACTCCATTTCTGCTAAAAATGATCTGGTCTACGGGAGAGAATATTAAAGTCAGACATCTTACTTTGATTAGCTGGTTAAATACCTCCACCTCATCCCCTTCAACACTTCACAAAGCTCCTCCACTGGATTCCCAGAACAAGGGAGAATAAAGGCAGGAGATGGCAAATATGACAAAAGGAAACATGGTGTACAGTCCTGTGATTTTAGACAAATCATCCATTGAGCTATAAGAAGCTAAAGACTTTGTGTTAACCAACTGTCTCTAGATCTTTGGATTCATTCCATTTTATCTGGAATGCAAATTTTCAATCCTTAATTAACACAATCACCATGAACCATTCCTCCTTTCTAAGACTTAAAAAACCCTGATGTTTCCTCTTGGTGAAATAAATATCTTTATCAGCATGTGTTTCCTTGCCTGGAAAGTTAATAGATTCAACTTTAGAATATTGCTGCTGGGAGGTGGGGGAGTTTTTATTCTTTGATACCTATCACAATTTCTTCAACCTCATTCTGCAGCAAATTACAGCACTAAACCCAATCTAAACCCTTATCATAAGAAAAAATTTAATAACTGATGTTTAAAAAGTACTTTGAACACCAGTGCATAACCTAGCATATATTAACACTAGTAAGATTAGTTACCTTCTGAAACATACCTTACTATATAACATGTTAATTTTTTGAGCAATGGTTTGCCTCTCTTCCAATGCAAGTTCTTGTAACTGCTTTTCATCTTGTTTATCTAGACCTATAAACAGACAACAGTAATGATAATAAAACTTTTTAAATACTTATAGGAAAACTCTTAAATAGCTACCTAATCTCTGCTTATTAAGTTTTATTTCAGTTATGAAGCAAGGAATTATACAAAAGAACAGTTAGAATAGTTAGAGAGTATCAATAGACAAGTATTTGTAAAGTATGTCCAAAAATTCCTGGGTTTTTGAAAAGAAGCATGATCTTGCCCAAACAGCTAATTATTTGAATGTTTATAAGTAATTATAGAAAACAAAGATTAGCCGAGACCGGTTTGGCTCAATGGATAGAGCGTTGGCTTGGGGACTGAAAGGTCCCGGGTTCGATTCCGGTCAAGGGCATGTACCTTGGTTGCGGGTATATCCCCAGTAGGGGGTGTGCAAGAGGCGGCTGATCGATGACTCTCTCTCATCAATGTTTCTAACTCTCTATCTCTCTCCTTTCCTCTCTGTACAAAATCAATAAAATATACTTAAAAAAAAAAAAAAAGATTAATCAAGCAGGGACTGACTAGTTAAATATAAACCCAAATAAGATGTTTTGGAGTAAATTGGGTGGCCATTTTTTGTCTAAAGGTGGCAACCATTACCCAACACACTCTGAATACTCTAGCATGGCTAAAGCTTCCAATTTTGTAGAGTATATGTAGCCGGGATCACTATCCTATCTAACAAAAGGATAATATGCAAATTAACTGCCACACTGTCACAAAGGTGGCAGTGCCCATAGTCACAAGATGGCGGTGCCTAGTCCTCTCAGCCCTGCCAGAGTTGTCCAGTCCTGGGGTGGGCAGGGGCGGTTGCCACTGAGTGCAGGCAGCGTGATCAACCTGGTGGAATGCTTGTTTCGTCGCCATGGCACCCAATCATGGATGGGCCTCTGGGCTGTGGAGAGCCTCTGGGCTGTGGAGAGCCGCAGAGTGGCCAGGCACTGCAGAGAGCTACTGGCACATGGATTCATGTGCAGGGCTACTAGATATTACAGAATAGCAGAACCATAAGCCTAAAAGAGAGTTTAGAAACACTGCTTTTCTTTCAATTTCTGCATATTGTGAAAAAATTTCCTAAGAGAAAAAATATTAAAACAATAGCAATATTAATAAATACTTAAAATACTAAAATTAAAAACAGCTCTCACATCATATACAAAATTAACTCAAGTAGATCAAAGACCTAAATGTAAAAGCTAAAAATATAAAACTCTTGGAAGAAAACAAAGATATACTACTTTGTGACTTTAGATTATACAATAGTTTCTTAAATAATATGACACCAAAATCACAAGCAACAAGAGAATAAAAAGATAAATGGACATCATCAAAATTTAAAAGTGTGTTGCTTCAAAGAACAATCCACGGAATGGGAGAAAAATTTCTGTAAATCAACTATGTGATAAAGAACTTGTGTCTGGCTTTGGCCAGACAGCTCAACTTGGTTAGAGCATCACCCTGACATGTAAGATTAGGGGTTCAATCCCTGGTCAAGATATATAAAAGAATTAACCAATGAATGCATAAATACATGGAACAACAAACTGATGTCTCTCTCTCTCCCTTCCTCACTCTCTCTCTCCCTTCCTCACTCTCTCTTAAATCAAAAATAAAAATAAAAAGAACTTGTGTCTATAATATAAAAACTCTTACAAATTAATAACAAAAAGACAAGTAACAATAAAGGATCTGAACAGTCATTTATCCAAAGATGATATGACAAATAGGCACACACACACAAAAATAATCATTATTAATTACAGAAAGTCAAATGAACCCTTGCCAGTGTGGCTCAGTTAGCTGAGCATCATCCCATGCACTTTAAACGGTCATGGGTTTGATTTCCTGTCAGTGTACATGCCAGGATTTTGGGCTTGGTCCACAGAAGGGGACATGCAAGAGGTTTCTCTTTCACATCATGTTTTTTTCTCTCTTCCTTTCCCTTTCTCTCTCTCTGTAAAATAAATAACATATTTAAAAATATATGTTTTTTAATTAAAAAAAAGACGTTAAATCAAAATCACAAGAAGATATCACTTTACACTCACTACGATCACTAGAATCAAAGAGGCAGATAACAAACATTAGCAAGGATGTGGAGAAATTAGAACCCTCAGACCCTGGGGATGGAATGAAAACGGTGCAGCCACCTGGAAAAGTGTGACAGCTCCTCAGAAGGTTAAACATAGTTATGAGACACTCAGCAATCTATGTCCATACAAAAACTTATACACAAAGTTCCTAGCTGCGTTGTTCATAATAACAAGATAGTGAAAACAACTCAATAACTCAATATTCATCAACTGATAAATGGATAAATGAAATGTGGTATACCCATACCATGAAATATAATTCAGCAATTAAATAATGAAGTACATATATAGGCTATGACATACATAAACCTTTAGAATACTATGCTAAGTGAAAAAAGCCAGTCACAAAGGACAACATACTATAGGATTCCACTTATAAAATACTAGTGGCCTGGTGCACAAAATCCATGCTCATTAAAAGGGATTAAATATTTTAATATTGCTATTTGCCCTTTCTCTATAGTAGAAGTGTCAGAGATGAAAGAAAATTAGTAAAATGTATATGAAAATCATCTTCCTGACAGAGTCTGAGGTGCACCACAGGACCCAGAGTCAAGTCCCTGCCCACCACATGTGCCTCAAAATCATGCGAGACCCAGACCCAGCCAGCCTTCCCCCACCATTGGGCTAGATCCAGACTTGGCTGGTTCCACCTTTGTCAAGCCCCCTGAGCAGGGTGCACAGCCTTAGCTCCAGCATTGGGGCTGGGGGGAGTGGCCTGAGGTCCCTTGTCAAGCCCTGTTGGGTAGGGGGCATGGCCTGAGGTTCCCCATCAAGCCTGGCCAGGTGGGGGGCATGCCTTGAGCTCCCCAATAAAGCCCTGCTAGGTGGGGAGAGGGGGGGCACAGCCTCAGGCCCCCCAGCCCAGGTCCAGGAGTGGGGTGCAGCCTCAGGTCCCCATTAAGCCCCAACTGGGATGGGGGTACAGCCTCAGGTCTCCCATCAAGCCCTGCTGAGTGAGGAGTGTGGCCTGAGGTACCCTGGCCCAAAGCAAGGTCCCCCAGCCCAGCACTTGGGGGGTGGAGTGGGGGGGGAGAAAGACACTTGATCTGCCCCGTCAAGCCCCACCAGGCATGAGACGTGGCCTCAGGTCCCCTGACCCAGTGCTGGGGTTCGGCTTGAGGGCCCCCATAAGCCCTGCCAGGCAGTGAGTGCACCTGAGATCCCCTGGCCTGATGCCAGGGTGGGAGGTGCGGCCTGAGGTTCCCTGGCCCAGCACCAGGCAGGGGCTCACCTTGGGGTCTCCCATTAAGCCCCGCCAGGCAGGGGGCATGGCCTGAGGTCCCTCGGCAAGACCTGCTGGGTGGGGGGCGTGACCTGAGGTTGCCTGTCAAGCTCCACGGGGGACGGGGAGGCACAGCCTCAGCACCCTGCTGATGGCTCATTAGGGCCGTTACAGGATCTCAGCCTCTGCTGTGGGTGCAGCCATCTTGTGTTACAGAAACCCCCGCCTCTGCTGTGGGCACCACCATCTTTGCGGCAGAGTGATGGTAATTTGCATATTCCCTGTATTATATAGGATGCCTGAAATAAGTAAACCTAAAGAAACAGAAAGTAGATTAGAGGTTGCCTAGGGCTAGTAGGGAAGGGGGTGATTGGGATGAGATGGCTAAAGGGTGATGAAATAATACCTAAACCAAATAAACCCTTTGATGGGTACTTTTGTGTCCCTGGTATGTAGCACTGTAGGGCAGTACTCAGTAAAGGTCTGTTCAATAAAGTAAAGCTTCTGAATAAGTCTCCCAGACCCTAAAAACTTCCCAGCAAGCACCACAAGGAGCTTAGTCTCTTAGTAGTTGATGTTTAGTAGCTGAAATACTTCAAACATCCAGAATACAAAGTCCTATCCTTTCCAAGTGTAGAGCTTGTTACCTGTAGGCTTTTTAAAGACTGAGTTTTGGGAGCAGGAGCAAGCTGGAGGGGGTCAATGGGGGAAGTAAAAGGGGAACCGCTATAATACTTTCAACAATAAAAATAAAAATAAAAGAAGACTGAGACCTAGTCAGTGTGGCTCAGTAATTGAGTGTAGACCTATGAACCAGGAGGTCACAGTTTGATTTCCGGGTAAAGCAAATGCCCAGTTTGTGGGCTCAATCCCCAGGGTGGAGTATGCAGGATGCAGTTGATCAATGATTATCTCATCAGTGATGTTTCTACTCTCTCCCTCTCCCTTTCTCTCTGAAATTCATTAAAAATATATGTTTTTAAAAAGACTAAGTTCATTTAACTTAGAAAATCAATCCTGTACTTATACACACACATATCTTTTACTTACTTTTACACATTGATTCTAATTCTTCAATTTCTTTTTCAGCCTCCTGAATTTCTTGGTAAAGGGCTGCAAGTGGTGCCAACTCAGCATGTCTTTGATTCAAGGACCTTTGGTCCCCTTGATTCACAGAGATGTGCTGCAAACACTGACCAAGTGTTTGGTACTCCTTAGTCAGGTCCTCCATATATTTCTGTAATGCTTTATGCTTCCAGAGCATCTTGGTGTTTTGATGACAGAATCTCTTAGAGCAATTCTTATTTAACAGACTATGGAAAATGTGATTCCTGTTTTGTCTAAAAATCCCCAGCCTTGTATCAAGATGTATCTGTGTAAATTGATGAAAAAGGGGATGGATGTGGCACTGGTGATGACCATGAAGAGATGGAAGTCTAAAGAGCCAAACACAGAGGTGACGGTTCATCTCAGCATCTGAAATAAAACAAATAAACACAATCTGGAAAAACAACAACAAAAAACAACAACTCTGCAGATAGAATGTAGCTGGAAGGAACCTGAGAAATTCTTGCTCAGTTCACTCCTTGAGCCAGCTCTATACATGGTCCTCAAATTCCATCGTATATAATCCTGTCCTCATACACACACATATCTTTTACTTACTTTTATCTAATATGCAAATCGACTGAACGGTGGAATGACCTGTCACTATGATGCACACTTACCACCAAGGGGCAGATGCGCAATGCAGGAGCTGCCCCCTGGTGGTCAGTGCAGGGAGCACGGCTCAGTCACAAGCCAGGCTCACTGCTGGCAAGCACAGTGGCTGTGGTGGGAGCCTCTCCCTCTCCTGTCTCCTGCAGTGCTAAGGCTGTTAGATTGCCTGCTTAGTCCTGCTCCCCTGAGCTGTCAATCCAGCATCCCCTGAGGGCTCCCGGACTGTGAGAGGGCGCGGGCTGGGCTGAAGGTGGATGATTTTCATGCACCAGGCCTCTAGTAACTCACAAAAATAAAAGAATTCCTCAAACCTCCAAAAAGAATGTATTAAAATAAATGAAGAAAACACAAAGCACTTTTTTCTACCACTCAACATATATAATTAAGGCAAAAGTAAGAGTGTAACCAATAAATATTAATATATCAATAGAATGGATTAAATCAGTTATTTTTCTACAAAGTATTCAGAATACAGAATTGAGTGCATGAACAAGCACTGGAAAGGTATAATCATTCAAACTTTAGATGGTTCATAGATTTTTGGATTTCTGAAGTTTGATGTAAATAACTATTTTCTTATATCCAGATGTCCAAGAAAGTCAAGTACCGTATTTTTCGGACCATAAGACGCTCCGGACCATAAGACGCACCAGTTTTTAGAGAAGGGAAATGAAGAAAAAAAGATTCTGAAACAAATAGTGTCCTAAAATATTTTATGTGCATTAAAACCCAACATCACAGTCATAAACACATGTAATCAACCCTGTAAAGTAAACAGCAGCATTTAGAACCATTTTAGAGCTGGGCAAGCACACAGAGACCACACAGAGCCGGGCAAGTAAAAAAAAACTTTTTTTTAAAAGTATATGTGTAGGCTATATTTGGACCATAAGACGCAGGGACTTTTCCCCCCCACTTCTGGGGGGAAAAAAGTGCGTCTTATGGTCCGAAAAATACGGTAATTTAATCATATTATTTACTCAGCTAGACAGAGACACAGCTGATTCTAGAATGCAAGTTTCCTATTGAGAATTCAGTGCGCTAACTTTAAAGCACACTTCAAAAATGCTTCCCTGCCTAAATCAGTGTGTCTCAGTTGATTAAATGGTATCCTGTGTACCAAAAGGCCACCGTTTTGATTCCTGATTAGGGCACATGTTCAATTTGCAAGTTTGGTCCCAGGTCAGGGTGATATGGGAGGCAACCTATCAATGTTTCTTTCTCACATCAATGTTTCTCTCTCTCCCTCTCTCCTTCTCTTTCTCTAAAAATCAATAAAAACATTTTTTTTAAAAGGATGATTCCTACAGCTGAAATCCTAAAAGAAGAAAGCTTCAAATATTAACAGAAGGTCTGGTAAAAAGGGACAATGATGATAATTACAGTTGACCCTTGAACAACATGGGTATGAATTACAATGGTTCCAAAACATCCTGATTTTTTTTTTCAATAAATATAATCGGCCCTCTGTATCCCCTGGTTTTCCATCTGCAGATTCAACCAACCATAGTTGGGAATCCATGGGAGCAGAGAGCCAATTATATGCATTGTTTTATATCACTTTATATAAAGGATTTAGCAACTGGGATTTTGGTATCTGTGGGGCTCCTACAACCTATTCAACACATGCACTCAGAGATGATTGTAGTTAAGTTTGGGGAAGTCAAAAGTTATACACAAACTAGAGGCCCAGTGCATGAAATTCATTCATGGGTAGGGTCCCTAGGCCTGGCTAGCAATCAGGGCCAATCATGTTCTCCGCCTCCTCACCACCTCCTTCTCTTGCTCCCTCAGGGCCTGGCCACCACAGCTGGTCGCCCGCTATGTTCCGCACCACCCCCTGGTAGTCAGTGTACATCATAGCAAGCAATCGAACTCCTGTTCTCCCAGTTGAACTCCCAAGGGGACACTTTTCACATCAGCCATATATATATATATATATATATATATATATATATATATATATATATATATATATATTTTAACTGGGGGATTGTTGCCCATAACCCCTATATTATTCAAGGATCAACTGTACAAAACAACATAATCTCAATTGCATTTTCTAATTTTATCTACAATACATGTAAAAAATGTACAGAATATTTTGAAAAAAGAAAAATAAAATATAAATATATCAAAATATTAAGATGATTTCTAGTTGTTGAATTACTGATACCTTTTGCTTGCTTTCTATTTTTTTTCTACTTGTCAGTGTTTTCCAAGTCTTCTATACTTATAGTATTGTATGTATTACTTTTACAATCAAGAAAAGTTACTTTAAAAAACTACAAGTTAAAAAGAAAACAATTACAAGTTAGGTGAAATTGGCTGTGTATAATAATTATCTGTTCTCCCCTCTAGCAGATATAATTAAGAGCTAACAAAAGCATATAATCATTTTTATTGAGTATGACAGGGTTCTAAGAAGAACACTTTGCCCCTAAAATCCTGTGGTTCAAAGTTGAAATAGAGGTAGAGATCAAAATGTATCAAAATCAACCTTTATCGTCACTGGTGTTCCTACTGCTAGGAGGTGCATTCATATATTAGCTCTATTGATCATTATAAGTCTGCTAATATCATTATCACCTAGAAAATAAAATATTAAAATTTGCAGGGTTCTACTCATGACCTTTAACAAACTGAATCACATTCAAAAAGGGACAGTGGATGAATACATATATGCCCAGTAACCACAAAAGTGACAGTCCTCCAGCGGAAGGTTCTGTGTGCATTTACATCTAAGTCCCAAACACATCAGAGGTGTGTTCAGTTGAAAGCGGACAGAGCAAAAGGATGGTAAACATGTGTTATAACACTTCTGGCTAAAATTTCCATCCCAGGAAGAGTAGAATAATCCTCAAGGTCATGAACCTCAATGTTAAAGGGGCAAAAAACCAAGACGGTTACTCTCTAGGATACCTGAGAACAGCAAGTTCTCTCCACACCGACCGCAGGTAACAGGGCTCCGGGTCCTCTGGAACAGTGGTCAGGGTGGGTTCACCGTGAGTGACAGACCTCCCGGCGCGAGCAGCACGTGTAAGCCATACTGTGAACCTCGGTGCAGGGAGTGATCCCATACAAAGGGAACATGGAAAATATGCTGGAGAAAGAAGAAAAAGACTTTTTAAGATCATGAAAGAGAAAGGGATTGTGAGTACTTAAAATGAAGACGACAGCTTTCCTTACTGAGGTCGGAACCTTCTCTAACTCGGTACATTTCAGCCAGAAAGGCAAGGAATCACTTTCACTTCCTGGGTCACCGCTTCCGGGTTAATCATCGATTCCTGTCTTCTTCGTTTTGACACTTTCCCATCGTGATTGGACTTTCGTTAAAACAATGAGGTGAAAGAGGAAACAGAAGAGAAACATGAAAGCAAGAAAGATTAAAAAAAAAAAAAAAAATGCGAGGGTGCCAGCCGGGCGCGGGGCCCGGGGCGCAAGGTTGCGGCCCCGGAACGTAGATTGTACTACAACTCCCAGTAGCACCCGCCCTCCCAGTAGCACCCGCCCAGGAATTCTGGGAGTTGTAGTTTACCTCCGGACAGGCGCGTCCCTGGTGCCCAAAGGTGGAGCTTAGGTTTTCAGGTTAAGGGAAACCCAGGAGTGAATTCCTTACAGTTTTGATTAGGAGATGACTTACAATATATTTAATGTAACGTTACAAGAATTTTCTTATGTATCGAGCTACTAAAGTAGTGATTCCTTAATTTCTTTTATATGAGGACCCCATTTTCATCATTCAAAAATTTAGTGGATTCTGCTTGTTAACAGCTGTACTTTCGACTTCCGATGCCTAAGAAAAGACCTAATGACTAAATGAGAGTATAAATGTGTATTTTAAAAAACAATACGGGATCCAAAAGAGAGACTATAGATATCTACAAATTAGTGACTTTATATATGTTTCATGCACATCTAAAATTTAGGGTTCAACTTAGGTTAATAGCTTCTAAATCACCGATTAAAGAATTCTTGCCAAACCTGGTTTGGCTCAGTGGATAGAGCATTGGCCTGTGGACTGAAGAGTCCCAGGTTTGATTCTTGTCAAAGGCGCATGCCCGGGTTGTGGGCTCGATACCCAGTGGGGTTGTGCAGGAGGCAGCCAATCAATGACTCTCATTATTGATGTTTCTCTCTCTCTCTCTCTCTCTCTCTCTCTCTCTCTCTCTCTCTCTCTCTCTCTCTCTCTCTCTCTCTCTCTCCCCCCTCTCTTTCTCGTCTTTCTTCAATGAAATCAATAAAAGTATATTTTAGCCTTAGCTGGTTTTGCTCAGTGGATAGAGCATTGGCCTGGGGACTGAAGGGTTCAATTCCAGTCAAGGGCACAAGCCTGGGTTGCAGGCTCGATCCCCAGTAGGGGGCGTTCAGGAAGCAGCCAATCAATGAGTCCTTCTCATCATTGATGTTTCTCTCTCCCTCTCCCTTTCTCTCTGAAATAAAAAATATATATATTTAAAAGTATATTTTAAAGAATTTAAAAATCCACATAATAAACAATTTCAGGTAAATGCAAGCATGTTGCCTTATTTTAAAAATTCCAGTGAGATACATCCATTAGCAACCACATTTACAATATTTCTTCTTGAAAAGCATATTACCAACTTCACAGGATATTTTCTTAGGTTATGACCATACATATAAGAAGAATTAGCCATACATGTAAACACATATACAACTTTCATTATCTACTTCCAAGTATCTTTTTTTGTCTACATGGTTAAACCTACTAATTCATTCATCCTTACAATAACCTTAGAATACCCATTGTGCATGGGAGAAAACTAAGATACAGAGAGCTTAAGTAACTTGTCCAAGGTAAAAAAAAAAACACAACACAACAAAACTATTGTAGTAAGTGATATAGCAGGGATTCAATCAAGGCAATCAATCTGTCTTAATGACCTGTGGCATCTTAAGACATCTCACAATGAGAAGTTGGAAACAGCTTGGGATTTCAATTAGATATGTTTTACTATAGAAAAAAAAAATGAAATCAGGAATTTTTTTAGCAATTTAACACAAAATTCAAGCTCTTACTAAAGTAGAAAATAACTAGCAAAACAAAGATTCTTTTCCTTATAGTCTTATTATTTCCCCTGAAACAAGCAGAATACAAAGAATGAAATGGCAGCATTTCTTTTGTATTTACACTGGTTCTCAAGTTTTTCTTAGCTTGAAATAAAATATATGAAATGCGCCACCTGCTGGCATTATTGAAACTAGATCACTCACATAATTTTCTGTCAAAGACACTTAAGAGGCCCTGAAAGGTCACCTTACTATCTTTCTTTTACTCTTTAAAAAATAAAATAAAATAAAATAAAATAAAATAAAATAAAATAAAAGGAAATAAAAGGAAAGCAAAGACATTTGAAAGACTAATCCTGGAACCTCCCCTTTCCCCTCTAAACTAGTATTAGCCTTTAAAGTCAGCTTTTTAACAAGATCATTTAGTGTTGACTCTTACAACTTCTTCGTAATTTCATCTGTCATCTTAAATTTCTCTTCCACTATCATCCGAAATATTTTTCTTAAATAATTTGCTTTGGTTTTATTGTTTTATTTTTATTTTTAAATACATTTTATTGATTTCAGAGAGGGAGAGGGAGAGGGAGAAACATCAATGATGAGTGAGAACCATTGATCAGCTGCCTCCTGCATGCACCCTACTGGGGATTGAGCCCATAACCCAGGCATGTGCCCTGACCAGAATCGAAACTTGATCTCCTGGTTCATACGTTGATGCTCAATCCCTGACCTACACTGGCCAGGCTGCTTTGGTTTTAAATTGTACATTTTCAAATCTTTATTTCAATAAATTTTATTTTTTCCTCTTATTCTCCAAGTATCATAAGTAATTTTCAAATACTCATTATAAGCATTAATGTGTTTTCCAACTTAGCCCCAAAATGAAGAATATAATGTAGTCTACACTGTATGTGTGTATATGGATATATAGCTTTATTTTTTGTTTTTATTATGAAAAATTTTAAAAAGGTTCACAAATAGAACAAAATAATGACCCCATATAGCTATCACAAATTCTCAGCAGTTATCAACCTGGTATTTCACGTGCCCTCCTCCTACTTCCTTTCTTCACTTTATTATTTTGGTGCAAATATAAAACATCTTTTTTCCATCTGTAAATATTTTAGTATATGGCTCTAGAAGATGAAGACTTTTAAAATAGTCATCCTTAAAAATTAAGAATAGCATCTTAATAGTATCAAATATCGAGGTGGTGTTCAAATTTTTCCTTATGTGTCACATTTTGTGGGGGGAGTAGTTTGCTTGTTCGTATCAGGATTCAAATAAGGTCCATATATTGCAATTTGTTGCTATATTTTTAATCTATAGGCCCCCCCCTTTTTTTTTCTTTTTTCTTTGCAATATATTTGTTGAAGAAACCAGATTCTTTGCCTTGAAGGGTCTAAAATTTGTTTTAGACTTGTGTTGTGTTATTATGTTCCTCCCCCTCACCCCGTATTTCCTAGGAAGGAATCTAAAAGCTTCACCAGATTTATATGATTGTTGTTTTTCTTGGCAAAACTGTTTGATAGGTGGGTTAGCTACCTTCAAGGGAAGATACAAGATATTTAGTGTGTCTTTTAAAAGTTATACTAGATACGTATGAGTGCGTATGTCCATTACATTATTAGAGGTTGCAAATAGTGATTTTTTTTTATCATTCTGTTTTCATTTATAAGTTGGAAACTAATTTGTTGTAAAGCGAAAATTTCCCTCACCAACTAATATTGTTGCTCTTGCTTTGAAAAGTTTTAAAGGAAAAATTAAAATTTTTCAAAAGTAGAGAGGTGATCACATTCAAAGCTTGTTTTCTGAACAGTTTCCAAGATTTCTAAATTCTATTTCAATCTTATCTTTTTTTTGGTTTTTACTTTATTGTTTTAAATGTGTTTATTTTAAAACATAAACACAGCCGCTCCCATTATCACTATCTCCCACTGGAGCATTGTATTTGTTACATTTGATGAAGCCACATTGACACATCCTTATCACCTAAAGTCCACGGGTTACGTTAGGGTTCACTCTTGGTTTTGTGAACCCCAAAGTCTAAATTCGGACAAATATATGGTGACCTCTGCCTACCATTATAGCGTCATTCAGAATAGTTGCACTGCCCTAAAAATCCTCTGTGCTCTGCCTATTCATCCCTCCCTCTGGCAGTCACCGATCTTTTACTGTGTCCATGGTTTCACTTTTCTTGAATGTCATATAGCTGGTTCACATAGTATTTAGCCTTTCGGATTGGCTTCTTTCACTTAGTAATATGCATTCAAGATTCTTCCACGACTTTTTGTGGTTTGATAGTTCATTTCTTTTTAGTGTTGAATAATATTCCATTGTTTGGATGTACCACAGTTTATTTATATAAGGCTAGGGTTTTGAACCATCTACACAGATATTGGAATCATACAGTAGTATAATAGATGGATGCTAGAAGTGAAGTTGAAAGGATAACTACTGTCACTTAGCAAGCAAACAAATGAAGGATAGAGACCAAGAGGGAAAGGAGAAGAGAATGGCAGAGCAGTGGGATGTGAAAAAAAATTCTCCTCGGATTCTTCCCCCACCAACTCCCATAGTATGTAAAGAGAGGAAGATATAAAATGAGAGACAATGTCCTGGCTAAGGCCTCGGTATCAATTAAGGCAAGGAGGCAGAGCGTGCTAAGTGGGGGGGTTGAGGATAAAAGCTGAGTGGAAAGATGTGGCAGAGAGAACAGCAGTAGGAGGGTGTGTTTAGAAAGCAGAGACAAACACAAGAATACAACAGAAGTGAGGTGACTGGAGGGGTGGGAATCTGATGACGGCTTTGAGAGAACTCTAGTATAAAATGTCTCTGTACTGCCCGCCTGGGTGGCTTTGTTAGGCATCATCCTGTACACCAAAAAGGTTGCAGGTTCGATTGCGGTCAGAGCACATACTTGGGTTGCGGGAGACAATCAATTGGTATTTCACTCTCACGGATGTTTCTCTCTTTTTCCTTCTCCCTTCTTCTCTCTGTAAAATCAATTTAAAAACGCAAGAAAGACATGTATGGGAGGTGGTGGTGGTGGGGGCAATGGTAAGATATGTACACAGCTGAAACCGGTTTGGCTCAGTGGATAGAGCGTCGGCCTGCGGACTGAAAGGTCCTGGGTTCGATTCCGGTCAAGGGCACGGACCTTGGTTGCAGGCACATCCCCAGTGGGGGGTGTGCAAGAGGCAGCTGGTCGATGTATCTCTCTCATCGACATTTCTAACTCTCTATCCCTCTCAAGTGTTCTCTGTGTAAAAGCAATAAAAATACATTTTTAAAAAGATATGTACACAGATAATT